TAGAATCAGTTGTTCAAGGAGGCTTAGGGTCCTAATTTAGTAGAACTTTACCCCAAGTATCAAAGAAAGGTCCAGCCCAAGGTAAAAATCTACCAGTGGGGGAATGGTGTGAAGAGTGGCTTTCACTATTTTCTTTCTATAACTTTTACTTAATTTTTATAATCAATAATTGTGCATTAGTTGTATAATTTTGGAAGTAAAAAGAAAATATATTAGCGATGAAATTCTGACAAAGCACTCAGTTTACAGATAATTCATGAAATTAATGGTACAACTTAAAAAACCTGACAAAATCTCAGTATCTTTTTCATTTTAAAATAGTTGGGTTTTTGAATTTTTATATTGTAACTGTCTTTTTCTAGTTAATAAGTTGATTTAATTGTTTTAACTGGTAACTTTTATTGAGATTGGTCAAAAAGTATGTGTAAACAGAGCTGGATGTTTCACTTTATGATATTTTAATTCTTAGTATTCTATACTGAGACATCACAGTAGAGTATTATTTAAAATACACACATATTTTAACATAGAATTCATATTAAAATATATATAATATGAGATTCCTATTATGTATTAAAATAGTTTTTAGTTGAGTCAAAAATACATTGTAGCCCTGGCGCAGTAGCTGTGTTGGTTAGAGTGTTGTCCTGATACACCAATATTGTGGGTTCGATCCCCAGTCAGGGCACATACAAGAATCAACCAGTGAATGCATAACTAAGTGGAACAGCAAATCAATGTTTCTCTTTGTCTCTCAAATCAGTAAAAAAAAAGTTTGAAAAATATATTGTAAGTGGTGAATCAAACCTTAGAAATTCAAGATAATTGATGAATCATTTCACTTTTAAAAATAAAATTTTAGATTATACTGATTGTCAATCCTGATTAAAAACCCAAAGAAATATATTCTCTAAATCATTTTTAATTTAAACCAGTAGGGGAGAAGATAGCAAATGTAGGAGGGAAGACAAGCAGAACCAAAATTTGATTTAAACACTAGAAAACAATTTATACTTATAAACCACACGTTCCTCACATTGCAGGCATAGAATTCTAGTTATTGAAAGAAATTGATGATCATCTAGCCTTTTCATGTGTAGATAGAAAGAAAATGGACTTTGGAGTTAGACCTCCATCTAAATCATAGCTTTCATTTTCTTTCTGAGTTTTCTGGGCAATGAGTTCCGTTTCCTAGACTTCATAAATGAAACTGGATCACCTTTTATTATCAGATGGGAAGGAATACAAAAGAGAAAAATGTGCTAATGACAACCCAAGAAATGGTAGTAACACAGATTTTAGCTTCTATGGGAAGTTAGTGCTCAAAAGGATTATCTGGTTCAGTCTCTCAAGAAACTGCAGCTCCTGCAATTAAGGAGATGTCTCCAAGGTCTAGCTTTCATCTTGCTTGAGAATAGCTTCTGCAGCCTTTGTATATTTATGCAAATTGTACCGAAATTGCATGCAGATAAGGTATGCTGTGCCTGAATTTCATGCTTTAGGCATTTCGGTCGATAAAGAACACCATACGCATTAAAATAATGGATCTTCACAATCTGTGTGGACAGTTAGGGCCTCTGCCCACTGTTAATGCTGTCGAGGTCACTGCGAGCATCCGGTTTCTTTTCTACTCCTCAACTCCTGCCTTCATCTAAATACAACAAATAGTTCTCCACTTAGAGTCCTTCCTAGGAACCACAGTCATAATCGGTAGACTGTGCTTATTTTCAGAAGAACTGTTGATACAGTGGAAAAATAGTCCGTCTGAAAAAAAAAAAACACCAGCTTTGGTCCCTAATGAAAGATTCTAAGAAAAAGACAGGCTGTAGAAACTTTGGAATGATGTGGGGAATTGGCAGAGGTGGTTTTGTGGGTGGGGAACCGTGAAAGAAGAAAGAGCTGGGCAGATGCAGTCAGACTGGAGTTTGTGCCTGTTTTTCTTCACCATTGTATCCCCAGCAGCCAGCACAGCGCCAGCCATTTAATAGGCACGCGGTAAATATTTGTTGAATAAATAAATGCTATTTTAGCTTCCTGCCCAAGGGTTTGGCATCCACAACAGAGTATTGTGATAATCACTATGAATTTCCTCTTAACGGAAACAAAGGACCTGCTTGTTTTTGTTCCTTTTGAGGCTTTAGGCGTGAAAAGTCTCTGATTGCTAACATTTAGAGAAGAGTGCTATTATTCCAAAAGGGAAGTGGGGCGGGGAGCATTTTTGGGTGCGCTAAGTGTGGTTGGCTGGCTTTGAAACATACACATAGAAGTTACTAAATCAGGAAATGCTTTCCAGTTTGCAGCATGAAAGACCCATTGGGTAATAAAACCTCTTGTATATTATTTTCTATCCATAGTTGCCTTATTTCCTTATGTCCTTTTAATCATTAGAAGGGAGGCTAAAGCAGTAGAAAGTACCACAAATCGTCTAGCGACAAAGTAAATTTCGCTTTTAAAATCAGCTTTGAGAGCAATTTCTCATCAGGTTTGTTGGTAAATTGACTTTTTTGGGGGGGGCGGGATTAGCTCAAGAGGCGGGAGGCAGATGAAGAGATTAAAGGAGATCAAAATATACCGTTTATATTAGAAGGAGGCTAAACTGTGGGTGGTGAACACACAGTGCTACTACATACAGGTGATGGATTTCAAAATTGTACACCTGATACTTATATAACAATATTTACCAATGTTACACCAATAAATTTAATTTTAAAAAATAAATAAAAGTTTTAAGATATCTCAAACCAGGCCTTGTTTAATTGATACCAGATATAATGTATATAATCTGAAAGGGAAAAAGAGTCCCCCTTATTTTTAAAAAAAATGTTAGTACTTTATCAGAACACGTAGTACCTAGAGTGGTACTGTCCAATGGAACTTTCTGTGATGATGGAAATGTGTTATATCTGCCCTGTCCTGTATGGCAGCCACTGGCCACATTGGCCATTGAACGCTTGCAAACATGCCTGTTGAAACTGAGGAACGGGATTTTTGATCTTATTTAATTTTTTTTGGTTTAAAAATTACAATACAGTAGAATTGGCTTCTTTTGGTGTAGAGTTTTATAATTTTTTTCAGTTTGTTGAATTTGACCGCAAGCATTCATTTACCTGCCACCACAGCTGGGACAGCAGGGTCCCATCGCCGCCCACAACGCCCTCGTCCTGCCCTTTTATAGCCATTCCTCCCCCACCCGCCATCTGTCCTCCATTCTCCCCTTTAGTTTGAATGTTTAAATTTCTTAAAGTGATTTTCTTAATCAGAAAAATCCCTCGACCTCAGGGGGGTGATATTAAGAGTTTAAAAGAGAATCTCTCTGAAGATACAAAGACACAAAAGCCTTCATTTTAGAGTGACTGTAAAATGAACTCTATGTGCTTTGGCTTTTCTGCAGCTTTTTCTGGGACAAGTGTCATACAGTGTATTCTAAAACAAAATAGAAATTATTTTTCTACTTCTGTTTCGGATCATTTATGCTAATAATTTCTTCCACAACTAAGAGCAGCCCGGCCAACTAGAATGATCAGCCTTGGAAACATTTCAGGCCATGAGCACATTTCAAGATTTCCCCAAATGCATAGCCATTGATTACCAAGGTAAAGGAGAAATAGCACTATGACATATATTAAAATAAGTAAAAGATTGGACTGTGTAACTGTCGTACATGATTCGAAGTGAGATTTTCCTACTCTGAATTACTTTTAATTATATTTTGGAGTTGTTTTTATTTTATGGGACAAAGCTTTTCACCAGGAATCAGCAGCAGTAGCACCACCCATCTTGAACCACCTTTCGAACATTTATACCCTATTGCCTCCTGTACCCTCCGTAGGCTCCTTCCTGGGTTTCGCCCTCCTAAAATGTCTCTTGGCGCTGCCCCTCCCCCCCCCATGTTGATGCCTTAATTGAGACCTTCTGTTGTGCCGCCACTGCATTTACAGCAGCCCCCCCAGCTGGCCTCCCCTCCCCCTGCATCACGCCGTCTGCCCCACCATCGTCTTCCCCAGTGGCCACCCACATGCTTCTTCTCGAAAATGGGAATGTGATCGTGTCATCCTCCTGCTTCGCTTTTCCAAGGCTCTCTATCACCTGTGGGATAAATGACAAGGCATTACTGGCAGGCAAGAGGCCCATAATAAAGCAGCTGCTTAATTCTCCAGCCTGCCATCTTTCTCTACTGTTGTGTGTCCGTTTGTTTGGAATACCCTGCCTCGTATGTGTTTCCTGATTCCCGTTTGTCTTATAATATTCAGGTATTGTCTCCGCCGAGAAGCCTTTTCTCCCCCACACTCCCAGGAATGAATGGCTGTCTGTTTTCTGTATTCTCTCTTCTAGTATTGTTCCCTGTGACTGTGTCACGCTCGGCTTTGTATTCTGAGAATCCCAGTCCCCAACACGTATAATAAGTGCTTGATAAATATTAGTTGTTCAGTGTTTACTTTCATGTAATTCGCTGGCGCAGAGAACTGCTTTCCTATCTGTTTACTCATCTGATCCTTTTAACAACCCTGGACGGTAATAGGGCATATTTCCCGTTTTGCAGATGGTGCAACTAATGAGTATGGTTGGCTAGTAAGTGTAGAAGCGGCATAGCAAGTCAAATCTTGTGACTTCCAACCCAGAGTGTGTGTGTGTGTGTGTGTGTGTGTGTGTGTGAGAGACAGAGAGAGAGAGACAGAGAGAGACTACATCATAATTTTGTGTAAGATGTCAGCCAAAGAGATGCACACCATCATGGTGGCAGTTCTTGGTGTATTTGTCTATGAGTATGTTTCAAATACCTGATCAGTATCAGAGTCACGTGCACCTACATAGAGCTTTACCATTCCTGTAGGTACACAAGACATTTTGTGTTTCTCTCCAAAGGTAATAGTAGTGATGAGAAGTCAGAGACAAGCTCCATTAGAGTAAACTGTTTCATTCTTAAATGAGGTGTGATGACTGTTTTTAGGCTCTCCGTCATGTAATTTAACTAAACTGACTTCTGAACTTTCTTTCCAAAGGTTTCACTGGAAGAAAAAAATGCAACTATTATTTATGACCCTAAACTACAGACCCCAAAGGCCCTGCAGGAAGCTATTGATGACATGGGCTTCGATGCTGTTCTCCACAATCCTAACCCTCTCCCTGTTGTAACTGACACTGTGTTTCTAAATGTTACTGCTTCACTGACTCCGCCATGGGACCATATCCAAAGTACATTGCTCAAGACCAAGGGCGTCACAGATGTTAAGGTTTCCCCTCAGCAAAGAACTGCGGTGGTAACAATAATCCCTTCTTTAGTGAATGCGAATCAGATAACAGAGCTGGTTCCAGATCTCAGTCTAGACACTGGGACTGCGGAGAAAAAGCCAGGAGCTTCTGAAGACTACAGTACGGCCCAAGCAGGCGAGGTCACACTGAAGGTGAAAGTGGAGGGAATGACCTGTCATTCATGCACTAGCACCATCGAAGGGAAAATAGGGAAACTGCAAGGTGTTCCACGAATTAAAGGTAACGTACCTGGTGGCACTTGTTTGCTTCATAAGGCTTAGTTTGCTCTTTTGGCCTTTTAACTTTTGCTTCTTCTCAAGCATGGGATTTGAATTCATGGGACTGGGAAGGCTTATTGCTTCATTAAAGCCGCAGGTACAGTGTGCTGCCAGCATTAATGTCAGTAAAGCTAATGATGAAAAGTTACACGAGTCTCGAACTAGCAGTTGAGGTGGAATTTCATGGAGTTTAGGGTTCGTAATGCCGCATGACCGTAGTCTTCTTTATGTCTAACATACGTCTCTTCAGGCATGCAGAAACTTGGAGACCATACATACAGTGGTCATATCTTTTACTTTCTTCCAGTCTCTGTCAATACTATTTTCTGAAAAGAACAGAATTATTTTGAGAAAGGATAATAGCAAAAAAAAAAAAAAAAAAGAAAAGAGAAAGGGTAATAACAGAGAGAGAAACGATTTTGTGTGATACTGGTTTGGTCTAAGGAATGTTTTCTGAAGCGGGCCCTGAGTAGCTGAATTAAATAACTACTTTTTTTTTATTAATTAGTTTCCCTGGACAACCAAGAAGCTACTATTGTTTATCAGCCTCATCTTATCACAGCAGAGGAAATACGGAAGCAGATTGAAGCGGCAGGCTTTCCAGCGTTCATCAAAAAACAGCCCAAGTACCTCAAATTGGGAGCTATTGATATAGAACGTCTGAAAAACACACCAGTCAAATCCTCAGAGGGATCACAGCAAAGGAGTCCAGTATATACCAATGATTCCACAGCCACGTTCAGCATAGACGGCATGCACTGTAAATCGTGCGTGTCAAATATTGAAAGTGCTTTATCTACACTCCAGTATGTAAGCAGCGTAGTAGTTTCTTTAGAGAACAGATCTGCTGTAGTAAAGTACAATGCAAACTTAGTCACTCCAGAAGCCCTGCGAAAAGCAATAGAGGCCGTACCACCGGGAAAATTTAGAGTTAGTATTGCAAGTGGAGTTGGCAGTACCTCAAACTCTCCTCCCAGCTCATCTCTTCAGAGGATTCCTTTGAACATAGTTAGCCAGCCTCTGACTCAAGAAACCGTGATAAACATTGATGGCATGACTTGTAATTCTTGTGTGCAGTCTATTGAGGGTGTCCTATCAAAAAAGGCAGGTGTAAAATCCATACTGGTATCCCTTGCAAATAGGAACGGCACTGTTGAATATGATCCTCTACTAACCTCTCCAGAAACTTTGAGGAAAGCAATAGAAGACATGGGATTTGATGCTACCTTGCCAGGTAATTATCACTTTTTTCTTTGACTTCCCTAATGTTCTTTTACGACTCTGGCTTGCTGATTCTTTTGTCTTTCATCAATGAGAAACGAGTAATAGGCATTTTAATCCCACTTTTTGGAAATAAATCCAATGGCAGTAGTCAGCAATGTATAAACAGATGCATAAGGATGTTTGCATAATTATTTGAAAACTAGAAACCTTAAATAAATCATGATATATCCTTGTGATGAAATGTTATGAAGCCATACCAATTATGGTATTAAAGGTACTTAATGCCACAGGAGAGTGTCAGATATTTTGTTAAGTGAAGAGAAATAAACTAAAAAGCTGTATATTCAGTTTTATCATTTTATAAACACAAGTATAAAGATTTATGCAATGTATATGCTATATATATATATATGAATGACTAGAATTCCTGGCAGGAAATGAACTAAAATTTTGACAGTGGTTATTCGTGAGTGGTAGGATAATGGTGATATTTGTTTCCATTGTGCTCTCATATGTATTTTAAGTTTTTTTATGACAAGGATGTATGTAGTTATGTATATACAGGGTCCAGCACAAATAACACCCCTTTTTATTACAAAATCTTTTATTTCATAATCATAAGCATGTACTTCTGTAACATGACAATAGCGCACTCAATTGCGTCACTTGACATTTTAGGCGAAATATTCAAATTGAAACTATAAATTATTATCCCCATATTATTATCCTACCAACCACACTGAGGCAGGCCTTACTTCTGCCGGACCCTGTATCATGGGAGAAGCAAATATTGTTTTTTAAAAAAAGATATCGATAAATCATAAAATTTTAACCATAGTTTTAAATGGAAGCATTCAAAGTCTTCCTATTTCCTGACAGCTCTCAGCTTGAACTGAAACCAGGAATGTATATGCAATGGAATTTGCCTGTGTAAAGTTGTTTGGAACTGGAATTGAACATAACCTTGAATTAAACTGGAAATGCCCTAATGAAATTTCTTGCTGTAAATAACAATCACTGATTCCCAGACACTGTCACCCTTCACCTTTGCTCTTTTGCTCGGATTGAAGGATATCAAATAACAATACACTGTTTCCAAGCTCACTAAACCTGCGAGGCGTAAAAAAATCATATTAAACCCATGCTCAAATTATTATACGTTTTAGTGGAAGAGGACCCAGAGTCATACTAAACATTCTTCTCATATTCATGACAGAAGGTAGAAATTACAGGATTCTCACCTTTTAGAGTCAAGATAGAGTTCACATACCATAAAATTTACCCCTTTAAAGTAACAATCCAGTGGTGGTTAGTATAGTCACATAGCATTGTGGACATTACCACTATCTAATTTTATAACATTTTATCACCTGCAGAAGAAACCCCGCACTCATTGGCAATCACTCCCCATTTCCCCTGCCTCAGTCCCTGTTACCTACTGTTGAGTTTTTATTGTTATGAATTTGACAGCTCTAGGTCCCACTTAAGAGTAGTCAGGGAATATTTGTCCTGTGTGTAACTGCTTTCACTTAGCGTATTGTTTCCAGGGTACACAAATGTTCCTTGACGTTGACAACATTAACTTCATTCATTTTTATTGCTTTTATAGTATTCCTTTGTATGTGTTATATACCTCATTTTGTTTCTCCATCCATCAACTGATGGAAATTTAGGTTGTTTCCACTCCTTGGCTATTATAAATAATGCTGCTATAAACAATTTGTGAATAATGTTTTGCATGAATGTATGTTTTTATTTCTCCTGGGTATATACCTAGGAGTTGAGTTTCTGGGTGAGATGGTAAATATGTTAACATTTTTAGGAGCTGTCAAACTCTTTTCAAAAATAGCTGTACCATTTTACTTTCCTACCTAGATTTCTCACTTTGATAAAGAAAATCTCAGGCCAAGATTCCTGTGCTCTAAAAAGAGATACATAATTCCCTATTAGAAAATTTATACAGAGTATGCCCTGGCTAGTGTGGCTCAGTGGATTGAGTGCCAGCCTGCGAAACAAAGAGTCACTGGTTCAATTCCCAGACAGGGCACATGCCTGGATTGCGGGCCAGGTCCCCAGTAGGGGGCGCTTCATAGGAAACCACACATTAATGTTTCTCTCCTCTTTCCCCCTCCCTTCCCCTCTCTCTAAGGGTAAATCAAATCTTTTAAAAAAAGAAAGTTTATACAGAATACTAAAATGTTAAAGAGCTTCCAGTACTAAAAATCTGAACAAAGAAATACATAATTGAAAAAGGAAGTAATTATGAAAGCAGAAGAAAATTTAAATTGGAAATACTGGAAGTGAAATTCTATGAGTTAGGCATAAAAAATGACTAAAATTAGTTTCAGCAAAATTGAGTTGTATCTGTCATCAGTTACAATTTTTAAATGTTCAAAATGACACTATTTGTAATTCACATTTTACTTATAATGTGGAATTATTCCTCAGAGTTTCTGTTAAATTAAATAGTTCAGCATACATGATACATTATGTTGCCAATGATGGACACTGCATAAATAAGTTTAGTTTACATCAGTATCAGTCAACGTTACAGTGTGCTATTGCTATGTCTCTTATATACATAGAAACCCCAATTATATCACATATGGTATGAAACAAATATTTCTCATGATCAAATCTGGTATCTGTCATACCATAAATAAGGACCTCACTAACTTTCAGACTGGATCCCAAAACAGATTTTGTCCTTTTCACTTGGGTCTATATTTTGCCAGAATCCACATTTGACTTTTAATAAGCTTCCAGGAAATTCATATACACATTCACGTTTGAGAAGCACTGGTCTAAGTAATTGGCTGCATTGACTTCTTTGAATAAAGTCTCTGAATTAAATGTATTATTAACATTGTTCATTTAATGCCATAATTATATAACATGAAAAATACAATTAAAAATAGCTAACATGTAGGAGATTTTATATACCAAATGTGGGAAGAGCAAAAGTGGAACTTCTAATTACCTTAGGACAATTCTGGAGTACTTGATAGTCTCTCATGCGATGCCTAGCATCTACCTAGTCCTCAGAACCATGAATGCAACGTGGTCAGTAACTTTTAGTAATGACATTTATGTTGCCCTACTCTTGTCAAGGGCCCTAGAATTCGATTATTCAACAAATAATTACCAGGAGACTGTCATGTGCCCTGAATCTGTTAGGGCTCATAAACACAGTACTGGCCACGATGAATAAATAGGTGAGAAAAACCTTCTCACAGTGAATGGCACCATAAAAGAATAGGTCGAATTGTGACTACAGCTACCCGTATTATTGGAATAAAAGGTGGACATCAAAATGACTGTATTCTGTGTTTCTGCTACCGATCAATCAGTGTTTTAAGATGCCACCAAAACTGTGTTTTCATTGTGTTTTTTTCCATTACCATTTAGTCCCCTTATACCCTCCCTCCCCTCGTGGCCACCACATTGAGTCCATGTCCATGAGTCCTTTCTCCTTTTTGCTCAATCCCTCCACCCCTATAGCTGTCATCCTGCTCTCTCTGTGTGTCTGTCACCAGAATTGTTGCTGCCAGTCTGCTGAATGGCAGTGGCAGTGCGGATCCAGACCTCACAGTATATGCACCGCTATGACGCGGGCCAAAAAGAGAGAGATCAGTACCTGTTGCTTTCATGCCATACTAGTCCTGGATAAGCCATACGTGTTAAAGAAGCTAGTGAGCCCTGGCTGGTGTGGCTCAGCGGTTTGAGCGCCGGCCTGCAAACCAAAGGGTCGCCAGTTCGATTCCCAGCCAGGGCACATGCCTGGGTTGCTGACCGGGTCCTTGGTGGAGGGTGTGTGAGAGGCAGACGCACATGGATGTTCCTCCCTCTCTCTTTCTCCCTCCATTCCTGAGTTTTTCATATTCCGTTCCCCTCTCTAAAAATAAATAAATAAAGGCTTTAAAAAAAAAGAAGATAGTGAGAAAAGTGGAGGAGGGGTGCTTTTTATGACCATCAATCTCATCATTCTCTTAAACAGAAATATGATATCTGAAGTAAAGCCTTCACTAACCAGTTAAAGCAAACAAAATACTCGATTACATTGCTTTCCTTTTTTGTAACTTTTTTATCTTTTTTTTTTTAATTTATTTATTTTTAAAGAGAGGGGAAGGGAGGGAGAAAGAGAAGGAGAGAAACATCCCATGTGTGGGTGCCTCTCGAGCGCCCCCTAGTGGGGTCCTGGCCCGCAACCCAGGCATGTGCCCCGACTGGGAATTGAACTGGTAACTCATTGGTTTGTAGGCTGGTGCTCAATCCACTGAGCCACACCAGCCAGCGCCTTTTAATTTTTTTACAGATTTTATTTAAACTTTTTTATCTTTTAATTTCAAACTTACAGAAAGGCTGCAGGAATAGTACGAAGAATTTCTGTTTATCAATTGCACTCAGATTCCCCAATTGTTAATATTTTACCACATTTTTTAAATCATTCTCTTTCTCTGTTGACAGATAGACATATATATACACACATATACAAAAACACACATATATACCTTCTTTTGAATCATTCGAGAGGAAGTTGCAGACCTGATGTTTATTTATAATTGTTTTGAAGCCACTTTCTGATTGTGTTTATTTCTCACGTTAATTTAGATACTGAACCTGCCCGCTTTGAGGGTCAGATTGGAAATCCTTTCTTGAAAGTGTTGGAATCTTTTCTGATCGGTGTCTCAAGTGCACGAAAATGAACCTTCCTTTTAAATTCATTTAGACATAAGTAATGTTGCTACAGCCTATATAAAGTAGAAGATAAAATCTTTGCCTCTTCTGCTTCCCATACTAACTGGGGTCACAGTTTTATGGATCTTTGTTGAGAGGTCATGCCGAGGTAACTTAAAAGGGACTACCTCTGTGACTTATTTTAATTGAATACTTACAGAGTGTGAAAATTACAGATTACCTCTTGTACCTGAAATAACTTATTCTGGAACAAGACATATCGCAATTTGCAAGATGAACTTTTTTTTTCTCATATTCCAGTTTCAAAATTAAGCCTTGTCAGTAATTATGAGAGAATTAAGTAAGATCTGCCTAGATTAAAATAGTCCTTTTTTCCAAAGCCAAAGCTATTTCCTTTGGGCAAATGGGCCTCCTTTTTGAGTCCTTCAGCATTCCGGTGCTCTTTGGTAAATTTGGTCCTAGGCATTCTGAATGATGCTCTTCATAATCTTGAGTGCTTCACTCAACACCAGAGACTGACTAATTAGAGAATCGGGAGAATCTAGTCCTTTGCTGTTCAGAGTGTCCTTTGCAGTACCCATTCTGATGGAAAAGCAGAATCTCAGGCCCTACCGTTCATGTCCTCAATCAGAAGCTACGTTTTAACAAGATTCCCCAGGTGGCTGTATGTGCATTAAAATTTTAGAGCTGTCATTATTTTGACTGGAGGAGTCTATATCATTATTGATTAGGGAAATGCTCGGGCTTTTGTTAAAGTTTCTTCAAAGATGCCCTTTCTCAGCATCCTGAAAACCACCTCTGTCATGTAGGGCTTCCTTTGGGGGCTGCTCCTATACACCCAAACTAGTTTCTTGCTCAAGGAGAAGAAGGAACAAGTTAGGTTAGTGGAAATTTCCACATCACTTCTTTTCCTCCTTATCTCTGCAGGAGAGTAGAAAATCTTTAGCCTTCTTTTTTCTTGCAGGTGCTTGGATATGCTGGAGAGAAAATATTTTTCTTTCTTGGCAGGTGATTAATGCTGCACTGAATAAACTAAAACACAATAGCAGATTTTCCGGGACTGCAGTACTATTTTGTAAATTGCTCTTTGTTCCACTTACTATACCACAAAATGCTTTACCACCAGAATGCAAATTGTTAACATGATGTTAAAAATTAATTCTAAAAATAAAAGCCATCTATTGACAAACTGCTCTCTACTTAGGGTTTGGGCTGGAAATTATGGCTGAAAGAACTTGATATAACCAAAATTTTGTTTACTCTCTGCCCTTCCCCAAGGGAACTCATTTTTTAAAAAAATTTATTTTTACAGAGACAGGAAGGGAGGGAGAGAAACATCAATGTGTGAGAGAGAACAGTAACCGGTTAACTCTCGCACACCCCCAACAGGGGACCTGGCCCCACAACCCAGGCCTGTGCCCTGACTGGGAATTGAACTGGTGACCTTTTGGTTCAACAATCAGGTGCTCAGTCCACTGAGCCACACCAGCCAGGGCTTTAAAGGAATGGACTGACTGCTCCTAGGGGTGGATTGTGATGAATGACCAGGATGCAGCTGGAGAATACCCCAAATAAAAAGACTCTTTCTCTGTCCAGCAGATGCAAATGAGCCATTGGTAGTAATAGCTCATCCCTCATCGGAAATGCCACATCTGACCTCAACTAATGAACTTTATACTAAAGTGATGGCACCAGTTCAGGACAAGGAGGATGCAAAGACTTCATCTAAGTGTTTCATACAGGTCACTGGTATGACCTGTGCTTCCTGTGTGGCAAACATCGAACGGAATTTAAGACGAGAAGAAGGTGAGGCACTCTTAAAGCCCATTGTTTTATATTCTAGTTTGAGGACTCTGTTCTTTTGTATGTGTTTTGTTACTGTGTCTATTGTTCTTTCCAGGACCTTGCAAACATTCTCAGTGACCAGGCAACCTTGACTTTCTGACAGCCAGTTGTTGTTAGTGTTTTGTTCTCTTAGATATACCTCCTATCTCGCGTGCTTCATGAGCACATTTTAACAGCAGTGAAATTTGCAGGAAAATAGCAAAAAGAAATACGTAAGATTACTATTCTTTGTGGACCTTGGATGCAATGTATTTTAAGAAGCATACAAATTTCCTGATAAACTTAAGCTTAAAGCTAACAACTAGGACCCATAGATTTCAGTATTACGATACCCAGCCCACATACGAGACTAAAACCAGGTTTGTTTAGAATTACAGGGGTGGGCAGAAGTAGGTTAAATTACCAGCCATCATTACCTAAAAGTTAAATCATAAGTAAGGGTATGAAATAATCGCAATAAGAAGATGACAAATAATACAAATAAAAAACACAATAATAAATAATAATACAAGAATAAACTATTTCGGGTACGCACAGCTGTAAACCTATTCTTGCCAACCCCATATATTCTCTTCCAACAGTTTGATCATTGATCTTTGCTTGCAGTAAAAATTGTTCAAAAGTTATGTAATATTTTGTACAAGTTTTAATTCTAGGATACAAAATCTTAGAAATTCCACATCATCATTTAGTCACACTCTGATATTTTAGCTTATAAATTTACACTCATATCGCTAGACTTCACAGTATGGCCTAGTAGATTTGTTAACCATAGAGATGTCTGATTATGTTTAATGAGACTGAAGTCATAGGCTTGGTCCTTAGGTAGCTCTAGCCCCAGAGGTTTTAAAGAAAAAGGCTGTTAGTTACAAGGACTGAATAAGGAAGATTAGCATAAGCTTATCCCTACTACTGGGGAAATAACTCAAAGCATATATAGTAACAACGTAGGCCTGTAGCCAGTAGAATCACCTTATATATAAAGGCCAAAACATTATAACCAAATGTATGTTACACAGAGCCATCTTCATCTCGATATTATCTGGTCTTCATTCTGTCATTTCTGCATCCTTCATTTCAGCCTCCATTATGTCTAATTAAAATGTACTTAAGGCTAAAAGCTTATATTACACTTTGATTGGCTGAAAAAGAAAAGGAGGAAGGTTGCAAGCAAATGAAAGCCAAAGGACTAGTCGGGTAGCCTAGCTGGTTTGAGCATTGTCCTGATCGTCGTTAAGGAACATAATATATACAGGACTCATGAACAAAGCCAAAGACGGTCAGATTCAGGATGGGAAGTGGGGGTGGGTAGGGCTGGGGAGATTGGGGGGGGGAACAGAGACAACTGTACTTGAGGAACAATTAAAAAAAAAGTTCAAACACTTTAAAAAGACTTTTACAAAGAAATACACTGTTATATTACCATTTTTAAAAATTAAAAACCACATCCTCAGAGGGAGTTTAAAAAAGAAAAGATAGCAAAGAAAGTCTCTGAGGTTCTTCTTTAATTTTATAACCAACTATTTTTGGGTAACTCAGAAATAGCCTTTTTCATGAGATAAGCAGTGCCTGTGCAAATTACAGATCTTTTATTTAAAGATTTTATTTACTTATTTATTTTTTTTTAGAAAGAGGGAGAGAGATATCAATTGGTTGTATCTCCTATGTTCCCTGACTGGGGACTAAACCCGCAACCCAGGCATGTGCCCTGACTGGGAATTGAACGAGCGACCTTTCACTTTGCGGGATGATGCCCAATCAACTGAGCCATACCGGTCAGGGCTCCAAATCTTTTTTTAAAAAACCTATTGGGCTGATTCTCTCAGTTACTCCCTATTACCCCTTTACCACCTTTTAACCCAATTAGGAGTATCATCGGCCTAGCTTGGGTAACCACATTGACTTTTTTGTTTTTTAAACCAAGTAACACTGGTCTTCCCGCTGTTTAGGCTCATTATATTTCTAAAAACGAAGACAAAGACTTCTAATTATAGTTTGAAGTAAGAATTTTTAAAAATTATCCATAATTTATGTAAGTATGAAATCTGTTTTTTGAAACTTAAAAAATCATAATTTCCTTTGTATTTCTGTTGGGCTATGGATTACATTCGACCAAAAAGCAAAAAGATTTTTTGCTACTTTCTCTGTCCTCTTATTAGTGACACTTTACCATGACCTGTTCCTCTAAATTATTTGGTGCCCACACAGCCCAAGAGAAGCACTTTATATAGAAAGCTTAGATTATAATTAAGTACTTTGTTTTCTTAGTCAAAGTATCAAATTAATATTTGGTTAATTTTTTTCTTTGTGTCCCCCGCCAGAGCTGACTTATTAACCGCTGACGCCCTTTCCCTGTCAGGTAGCGACCAAGTGCCACAGATTCCTAGAAAGAGCTGCCATTTCTGCTGTGTGGAATTAATTTCCTTGCTGGCAATGACAGCGGTAGCTGGCCTGGAGAAGTGGAATGTTTGTTAACAAAAGGCTTTCTCACCGGAGCGCAGCGTGACTGTCATAAAATGAAGTCCTTTGTTCTGTTAACGAGTTGTGTGGCACTTTTTCACTCTAGGAATTAAGAGCACTTTAGATTAGCGTGTGCCAGACAGTAAAACTTGAGAATTATAAGAAATGAGTATCATTGGAAAATATTAAATGTGTATGTTGGCACATTCTTGGAATTTTTGCTGCAACTGCAGCCGTTTCCTACGTTCATGAGTTCCTTTCTCTAGGACTCTGTCTCATTAGTTTCTAAAAATGCTTTATGTTTACATGATAAGGTCTCAGCTGGTTGCAGTTCATGGGCCTTACTTGGATCCTACTTCTAACAAAAAAAAAACAAACTGTATTCAATGAACCAGCAGTTATAAGACCCCTGTGGGCAAGTGAATGTTGCCTGGATAGTTGATAATATGGAAGAATTATTTTAGGTATGAGAGTGGTATTGTGGGTATTTTTAAGGAGAACAATATCTTTTTTAAAACATATTTTATGTTTTAAATTGCAGTTGTCCCGGTTTCTCCCCCTTTGCCCTCCTCCACCCATCCCACCTCCCTGCTCCCACAGCTAATTCCCGCTCTGTTGTCCGTGTCCGTGGGTCATTCATACACGTTCTTGGACTAGTCCCTTCCCCTTCTTTCCACCATTATCCGCCTCCCCCAAATAGAAATACATAGTTAAATATTTACATGTGAAATGATATGATGTCTGGGATTTGCTTGAAAACAGTCAGGATAGAGGGCAGGGATTACTTGGCTAGGAATACGGATGAAACAAGATCAACCTGGTATTATTGATAACTGTTTAACTGTTGAAGCTGGGCGATCAGTTTATCAAGTTTATTATGTTGTTCTCTCTTGTGTGTGCATATATACATTATATATATATATATATAATTGAAAATCTGTAAAATAAAAATTTTACAAATTCTTAAAAATTAAGAAGCGGAGACCCCTTTTTCAAATAGTTTTATTTGGCTTGGGTTTAAGACTATGTACAAGTAATCAGTGTCTCCAGATTTACTTTAATCCTTTCACAGTTAAGTGGAAAACAAAAATATTATAACATTACTTTTTTTCAAAAGCAGTGTTATCTGAGTTGTTTTCCTTATCCATGCTCCTAGGAATATACTCTGTGCTTGTTGCTCTGATGGCTGGCAAGGCGGAAGTAAGATATAATCCTGCAGTTATACAGCCCCCGATGATAGCCGAGTTCATCCGAGAGCTTGGATTTGGAGCCACTGTGATAGAAAATGCCGACGAAGGGGATGGTGTTTTGGAACTTGTTGTAAGTAACAATTTTAGTGTAATTAATAAGATTTCCAGAAAAAATATAGAGGCTTCAGAAAAGAGTTCCAAAGATAATTAAAGTTGGGAAAATAAGACATAAAAGGAAAATTAAGGGAACTAGAAAATGGAAAGATAAGATATGATTTTGTGGTAACTTTCAAGCATGGATGTAAAAGATAATCATCATATATCTGCTACAAACCAAAAAAGAAGAATTGGGTTGGAATGAATAAATGAAAATCAAGTTTAAAAAATATATGATTCTTACCTATATAGCATGTAGAAGAATAAGTTCCAAGTGCATTAAAGACTTAGGTGTTTTTTTTTTAATGATATTTACTTCTAGAGAGAGGGGAAGGGAAGGAGAGAGAGAAACATCAATGTGTGGTTGCCTCTTGAGCACCCCCTCCTGGGGACCTGGCCCACAACCCAGGCATGTGCCCTGACTGGGAATTGAACTGGCTACCTTTCTGTTCTCAGGCCGGCTCTCAGTCCACTGAGCCACACCAGCCAGGGCACCTCTGGCTGTGTTTGACAGATTTTTCCAGAGGAAAAAGCTTTTGCACACATTGAACCGTAGTCAGGGAAAGTGGAATATTTCATAGAACTCAGTTCAAATAATGAAAGTTCACTGATAAAGAGGCTTTGGAGCAGCCCCAACCCTTTTTGCCCACTCCGGTGGCTTTTGATGCTGTTTTTTACCTTCATTGTGAGCTGGTGGTCTTCATGACTACCAGAGAGTTGGAGGGGAGGGGCGATTATAGTGCCACATAGGTTGCTGTTTTATTGGGATTCATCTGATTTTCCTTTTTTTCATCCTCACCTGAGGACGTTTGTTCATTGCTTTTAGAGAAATGGAGAGAGAGACACACTGATGCAAGAGGGAACCGTGGACAGTTTGCTTCCTGCACATACTTGGACTGGGGATCGATCCCATAACCTAGGCATCTTGCCCTGGCCAGGTATCAAATCCACAACCCTGCGGTTATGGGACAATGCTCCAACCAACTGAGCCACACTGGCCAGGGCTCATCTCATTTTCTTGAAGAAATGCTTCTTGGGTTGCTGCAAGCTTTCATGTTCCAAATTTCTGAAAAAGTTGGATCTGACAATTTTTGCCAGTGTTCTCATTGCTTTTATGAAGGATAAAATTCCTAAGGATCCACCCATGAATGCATAAATAAGTGGGACAGCAAGTTGATCTCTCTCCCTTTCCCTCCCCTCCGCTTTTCCACTCTCTCTCTAAAATCAATCAGTTAAAAAAAAAATGATTTGTCAAATTCCCTGCAAAGAGTAGTGACAAGAAAGGGAAGACTTTTCATGAGATCCTCTGCCATGTAACATGTGGCAGCTGGCACATATCCTTGTTCAGTGTGATGTAAAAGTGTCCTAATGGTCATATATAAAGCATAATCGTAGTGCAGAAAGATCTTGTGTGTTTATCCCCTGTTGCAAGAGTTATCTTAATTGAAAATAATAGCCCTGGCTGGTGTGGCTCAGTGGATTGAGTGCCAGTCTGCGAACCAAAATGTTGCCGGTTAGATTCCCAGTCAGGGCACATGCCTGCGTTGCGGGCCAGGTCTCCAGTAGGGGGCGTGCGAAAGGCAACCACACATTAATGTTTCCCTCTCTTCCTCCTTCCCTTCCCCTCTCTCTTTAAAAATAAATAAATATTTTAAAAAATAATAAAATAATAGCTCATGTTTAATGGAGGAAAAAGTATATTTCTGAATAACAATGCATCTGTCTTTAATAGGTGAGAGGAATGACATGCGCCTCCTGTGTACATAAAATAGAGTCTACCCTCACAAAACACAGAGGGATTTTCTACTGCTCTGTGGCCCTGGCCACCAACAAAGCACACATTAAATACGATCCAGAAATTATTGGTCCCAGAGATATTATCCATACAATTGAAGTAAGTGCCACTTTCTTTGTTCTTGCCTATTTAATCAGTATTCCTTTGAATTGCTTCCGGTTTGTATGAGATACAAAGAATGAAAAAATCTGATGCCTTTGGTTACTCTAGACAACATCTGTCTCAGTTTAATGTAAATGTGTCTTGCCTTTTGTTTTGGTATTTGTCAGGAAGAGTTAGGCAAAGGGATACTGGCACTATAAATCAGGAGCAGACTTAAAGTAGAAACACAAGGTATTCAAAAGGTATTTCAAAAATGTAAGTGAAATACAATTTGTTATGAGTAAGATTTATGTGAATCACTAAGATGTGAAGCATCCTGCTAGATACTTTACTGTTAGTTAGGTCAAAGCAAATGATGTATTTTTATGTTAAAGTAAGAAATTTAAAAGCCCAAACCCTTTTCTTCATGATAGATTCATCTTGTGTTCTTCAGTGTATCTTAAGTGGTAGTACATGTGGAAGCGCTTTAAAAGCTTTAATGCCGTTTCCATAACTATTGGTCTGCAGCTGTTCTGCTGGTGGCAGTTGTGGCATTCCTCTGTGGGAAAGGGATTGTTACACGATGAAACACCTCTTTCTTAAGAAAACGGAAAGTGGGCATATGTGTGGCAAACACAAGGAAAAAAGGGAAAAAAATTTAATGTCATATAGCATTGGTGTTCTCATGATCTGCAGGGGTGTCGAACCTTTTGGCGTCTCTGGGCTGCATTGGAAGAAGATTTGTCTTGGGCCACACATTAAATACATTGCGACAATCACACACACACACACAAAAATCTCATAATGTTTGAAGTAAATGTATGATTTTGTGTTGGGCTGTATTCATAGCCATCCTGGAGCCCATGAGCCATAGGTTAGACAGCCCTGAAAAGCATATTAATAGTTCAGATAAGATCCTATTAGAATAGATAATAGTACCATTAGCATCTTTGTGAAACTAGAATTATTGAGTATCTACTATGTGTCAGTTACCAAGATAGCCAATGGAAAAAACCACTTTAACACAGAAGAAAAATCTTTTATGGTAACGGCAAGTAAATTATCTGGAAAGCCTATTGTCTGAATTCATAAATCAGTGCTTTAAAAAGACTTCAATGTGGAAAGCAGTTTGACAGTTCCTCAAAAAGTTACATGGAAATGCCATGTGATTCAGCAATTCTAGTCTGAGGTATATGCCCAAAAGAATTGAAAGCAGCAGCTCACAGGTGTTTGTACATCAATATCCATAACAGCATTATTAACAATATCCAAGAGGTGGAGATAACCCAATGTCCATTGGTGGGTGCAGAGATAAATAAAATGTAATATGTGTGTGTGTGTACACACACACCTATATATATAATGGTAATATCATTCAACCTTAAAAAGAAAAGATGACTCTTAAGACATTACGCTAAGTGAAATGAGTGAGTCACAAAATGTCAGATATTGTATGATTCCACTTATATAGACACAGAGAATAAATATTGGTTTCCAGGGACTGAATAGAGGGGAGGACAGGGAGCTACTATTTAGTGAATATTGAGTTTCTGTTTGAGATGATGAAAGATTTCTGGAAACAGAGAGTGGTGAGTACAACGTGGATACACATTGTAAACGTATTTAATGACACTGAATTGTACATGTAAGGGGTTAGAATGGTATATTTTGTGTTACGCATTCTTTACCACTATTTTCAAAAAGTCCTCTGTTTTCTTGTCTCATCTTTCATTTTTTTTAACTATCTGGATTTCATGTTTTTTGTATGCAACTTCCTGGTCTCCGAAGCCACGCTGGTCCTCACATCAGGCACATCATGCTCTTACTTACAGTTAATTACAGCTGCGTGACCTTTGGCTCAGGATGGCACCTCTCTGAGCTTCAACTTTGTCACCCACACGTGGATTTTCAACTTTTAAGGAGTAGAATCCTTGCTGTGGACAAACTCATACAGAAAAAAATCGCATAGAACCCAAATCGGGCAACACATATAAAAGCAGTTACACGGGCTATATATGTAACAGAGGTCATTGCATTTTGGTGGGGTGGGTGGGGTGAAGGAATCCCTCGGTCTCTATCCCGGCTTCCAAATCCCTCCCCAGGGCCCCCAGGGCAGAGAGTCACATGGCTGGAAAACCACGGGGCTACACAGCCTCTTCGGCTGTGACACTCTGTGATTATTCATTTGCCTTAGAGAATCCGTAATCTCTGGATCATTGAAATGCTGCTGTTAGGGACAATCCGGGGTGACATGCGTGTGAAAGCGCTTTGTCAACTGCAAAGACGGTCATGGATGGGAGCTGCTGTTATGATGATTACATCCTGCTTTATCCTGCAATGTGAGGAAGCATTGATAGAGCGAGCATTGCACCGGGAAGCCTTGGAACATCCAGATCCTTCCCTGCACTGGTATTTAGGGACACGGAGAGATGCCAGTTAATGCTGAAAGTCCAATGCAGGCGGTGCGCACGGAACACTCCATGGCAGCAGCAGAAAGGTCGAAAAGCAGAAAGAAAGGCGGGAGTCGGGGGTGGGGTCTGGCCAGCCTTCCCTCCCTCGTGGTATCAGTTACCACGTTGCTTTCATAACAAAACGGTATTTATTATTAGAATACGCATCAGGTGAAATTTTAGGTCTAGAAATTCATATTTAAGTGACTTTATTCAAATAACCCCTCTCCATTTTATAATCAGAAGAAACAAAGTAAAGTAGAAACTAAAAGGTGGAACTAGACCCACCTCAGAATGAAAGATACACACAGACTAAAAGTAAAGGGATGGAAAAAGGTATTTCATGCACGTGGAAAGGGGAAAAAATCTGGGGTAGCAGTACTTACATCTGACAGAATAGACTTTAAATCAAGGCTCTAGTAAGAGACAAAGAAGGCCACTCCATAATGATAAAGGGAACAACCCAACAAGAGGGTAGAACCCTGGGACAATTACGCACCCAACATTGGAGCACCTAACTATGTAAAGCTAATCCCGGTGGTCACAAAGGGAGAGGCTGACAGTAATACAGTCATACGAGGGGATTTTAACACCTTATTGATGTCAGTGGATTGATACCTCTTCCACATAGAAAATTAGCAAGGAGACAGCGGCTTGAAAGGACACACTAGATCATACGGATTTGATTGATATCATCAGAGTGTGATGGATGGTTAGGACCTTGTTTTTTGAAAGTAAGGGGGTTGGAGAGATAGTAAAGGGTAACAGGGGAGTCATATATGGTGACAGAAAAAGATTTTACTTTGGGTGATGGGCACACAATGCAATATACACATGATGTCTTATAGAATTGTACACTTGAAACTTACATAATTTTATTAGCCAATGTAACCCCAATAAATTTAATATAAAAATGAAGAAAAAAATTATACTGTTCCCCCAATATTATTTATGAAATTTGCATTCCTTCTATATTGATTGCAAGTGCTATTTTAATCAAATACTCAGTTCCCATATATACGTATATTCTCTGGGTTTTTTATTGTTTTAACGAAATATTTTACCAAGTTTTGTGCTAAATGTAATGTTTTAACTATTATAATTTTGTAGAATGCATTAATATCTGATAGGGCAAATTGCTCCTCATTGTTACTTTTAAACTCTTTGGTTTATGTAGTACATTTTCTCCTGTAGATAAATTCAATTGTTTAAATTTTGGTATTTATCTCCATGTCTCCAAATCGTACTTGTTTCTCGATGTTTCAATTTTAGGAATTGTTCCTTGACATATTGCTATCAGATACGAGGATTTAACTTTTCCCCTCCTCCCTTCTTTCTTACAACACACACAAAGCCTTCCTACCTCCCCTCCTCCCCGTGAACTCTCTTGCCCATCCAGGCACCGTCTTCTATGCATCTCTTCGCTACCCAGCCTAGTGGAAAACATGTCCGCCCACTCTCTCCACCGCACCCCCCCCCCGCCCCGCCCCCCCCCCCCGCCCCGTGCATTGACTTAAACCATCCCAGTGTATTCCTCTTTCCTCTGGACTCCCCACTGGAGCTCTTCTGTTCGGGGTCAGTAGATCTCTGAGCTGCTAAAACCAGGATTTCTGATTTTACTTGAATCGTGCGCCACGTTGCAGAGAGTTCCCTCCTTGAAATACTCGCACTTGGACTCTGTGGTCCATCTCGGGCACCCAGCTTCCTGGTGCCACTGCTGTGTTTCTGATCATCTCCCCTCCGCTTTGGGGACCCCCCACCTCTCCTGTGTTAGAATTGCAGTTACTCAGAGCTCAGGCCTCAACTCCCTTCCTTAGAGTCTTAACGTAGGTGGCTCACTCAATCCCATGGCGTCTTTTTACTTGTGAAATTAATGTATTAAAACTTACTATATTTTAACCGTATTTGATAAAAGTTATTAACTCTGAATTTTTCATTTAGAAAACTTTAAACTCCTAGAGAGAGCTCAATCTCTCCAGACAATGCTGCTGTGTAGCAGAAAAGGAAAGGGGACAGTTCTTTTCTCTTGCAGTGTAGCGAGCTACATGGTATACATACTTCCTGAATACACTCATGTAATGGAAGCAGTACTTTTGGATACTTGCATTACACAGTACCAGAAATAGAATAGAGGCCCTTGATAACCTCAGAATTTCAATAGTAGTTGTCTTCAAAATATTTTAAGAACTACTTTAAGAACTGCCTGTGCAGCCCTGGCTGGTGTGGCTCAGTGGGTTGAGTGCCGGTCCGTGAACCAAAGGGTCACCAGTTTGATTCCCAGGCAAGACACATGCCTGGGTTGCGGACCAGGCCCCCAGTGGGGGTGCACGAGACGCAGCCACACATTGATATTTCTCCCTCCCTTACCCTCTGTCTAAAAATAAATAAAATCTTTAAAATAAAATAAAGTATTTACTGTGAAGTAAGTGGTAATAGTTTTCTTGGACAAAGAAAATCATGGATTATTCTAAAGAAAATCCAAATAATTATTAATGACTTAACTAGTGGAAAATAAAACAATAGAGAGTTATTTTCAATTCAGCTGGGTTTATTTATTTGCTCATTTTCTCCATCCAATTAGCCTCACCGATTCACCAGAATTATGTCCCATAGCTCAATGAGAAATCAATACAACTTGCTTCACTTTTAGGAACTTCAATTTTGGCTTTTTGGCACTCGTTGATCTTCAGTTTTCTATAGCTTTCCTTATTGCTTCCGTCAGCGCAATCTTTACTCTGGTGAATGCTGGTATAGGTGGTGGACATTCCTTTAAGGTGGCGTTCCCTGCAGCTGATGAAGACGGGGACACTGGTAGAGCCAATGAGCTCGGAATGTGAGATGGTGTTTGTACAAAAGAAAACAAAGACTGTAGGTTGAAAGACTTTGCTGGATTCGAACTTGAAGGTGTTTGTTGTGGTGGAATCAAGTGCCTTGTTGATTGTGCAGTTGAAGGCCTTTGTGACTGAGCAACTGAACGTCTTAATGGCCATGCATCTGAGCATCTTGACAAGGTGGTGGTGTCTGACCGGCTCGTGGCCAGAGAAAATGAACTTCTTGGTGATGAAATCAAAGATGTTGATGTTTGTAGACATGAAGATATTGGTGAGAGTGGAATCAAATTTCGTGAAGTTGATGATCTTGGCAGTAGTATAGCCGGGTATCTTGGTGGTGGAATACAGTAGCTTGGCAATGATGAAAGTGAAGATCTTGGTAAGTTTGAAATTGAAGGTGGTGGTGGTTGTACAACTGACATAGGGCCAATTACGTGGGTAACTGTGGCCCTTGTTGGAATACTCTGTAAGGTTATTGGAGAAGAAGTTAGAGATGGAGGCACGTCCCGATCTGCACCTGGTGCACGCGGATCATCTCCTGTCAGTTCATAATGTGGAAAGGGTTCAGATGCTGGAGTAGAGAAGTCCCCTTTAGGTGGCATAATGGGAACAGCTGCTCCAGGAACACTTGGGCGGCAGGCAGTAGGAGATGTTGCTGCCGGGGTTCTCAAAACAGGCGGTGCAAGTTGAGTTGGGAGAAGCATGCTTGAGGAAGGTGTTTCCATCTTTGAAACTTTTAATAGAGCCAGCCAATCAGTTGGCAGTTCAGGCGGTGAGTCTGGCGCTGTAGGGCTCACGAACACCTTTGTTTTAAGATGATTTTGAGGTTGGGATTGCATTACTTCTCCCCTTCCAGTTCCGTACCTAACGTATGGAAGGGGATTTTTAACCTCTCCGGCTCCATGCGTTGGCAGATGTGGAGAGCTGGATAACACTTTTCCTACAGTGCTTGTTACAAACTTATTGATTTCGCATAATGGGAAACAGGGAAATGAGGAATTTTCATCTGGTTGATCCATATATGAAAGAGAGACCCAAGCAGTTGGGACCTGGTACGCTGAAGCTTCGTCTTCCATCCGTTGACTCTGAGGCACACTTGCTGGTTTACTGGGATGCTCTTCATGCTTCTTTTGCTTGAGCTTTGCCCCCTTTTCTTCTTCACACTCAGGTACAGTCTTTTCTTTGTAAAGGTCAAAGCAATATGAAGCATCAGGAGACACCTTTAAACCTCCTGTATCCTCTTGGCAAGAAGAACTATTCATAGGTAATGTCAGTACACGAGTATCATGCATTTCAGACATTTTAACAGGTAATTGCTTGGAGGAGTATACCTGCTGTGTTTGAATAGCTGTACTTCGAAAAGTCTCTGATTTCATAATTCTCAAGGATAATTCTCCATTTTCATTTTTGTAGGTAATACCATTTGTCAGCTGGATTACATGATCTTGTAAAACTATAACTCTGAAAGAGAGCCTGTCAACCTCTTTGGATATTTCCCCAAATATATCTTCAGCACATTTACTCAGATTATTTATTTGTATAGCTATATTGTTTAAAGACGTCTGGATTACATGAATTAACTCATCTTGAGTTTTTCTGGGTATCACTAATGTATCTGGATACCCCTCATCTTTCTCTTCATTTAACGACATTTTAAATATATTTTAGTTCAGTACCAATGTTGGGGCGCCCCCACGTCACCCCCTTTTATCCATCCATACCTTTTCTTAGGCCCCCTCTGAGCTCTGGCTGGTCTTCAGCCTCACAGGCAGCGTCTGCTTCTGGCAGAGGCTGCTCTGATCTGAGATGAGGTGCCCCTGCCTCCAGCAGTAGCCCGGCAACCAAGCTCCATGTCATAATTCCATGGCTGCGCCAGCAGCGATTGGCCAGGGCCTCCAAGCTGTCGTCTTGCCCCTCTGCCCTGCTCTCTGCTGGAACTGATTTCTCAAAGAGGGACAGAGACTGGCAGACGAGGAAGTCACAAAGCAAATAATACGTTCTCACTTATTGTATCTCAGGGGTGACCCTACATGGGAGGCCAAATTTTCTGTGTGACCTCTAGCTCTCTTTTCTGAATTCGGATAATATCGGTCCTTATCCAATTCCAAGTTACCTTCCAGTCGAGCTGTCTCTTCTAAGCTCCACCTGGATATCACATGGCCTCCTCAAACGGGTACTTAAATTTTTTTCGATGTCCAAAAAGCTACACGTAATTAATGTGTACCACTTTATAAATGTGGAGATAAGTGTACACCCATAAAACCACCGCCCCAGTCTATGCCATCGGCCTGTCCATTGCCTTCAGAATTTCTTCCCACGCTGTTAGGATTGTCGTCATCGTCGTCATCGTCATCGTTGTGATCACCATCGTTTTGTGATAAAGACACTTAACATAAGGGCAAAACTTGTTCGTACATTTTTCTTTATTGTATTATTTACTATTCCAGTTCCCCACTTTCCCCTCTTTGGCCACCTCCACCCGCCTTCGGCCCCCTCCCCTCTGGCCGTCACCACGCTGTTGGCCGTGTCTGTGGGTCATGCGTGGATGTCCTTCAGTTAGTCCTCTCTCCTTCTTCCATTCACCCCGCTTCCGCCTCCCGTCTGACAGCTCTCAGTCTGTTCCATGTGTCCATGTCTCTCTTTCTATTTTGTTCGTCACTTTGTTTTGTTCGTTAGATTCCACATGTAAGTGAGGTCATACGGTGTTTCGAACTTGGGTTTATGGCTTACTTCAATTTGCGTGATGCTCACCAGGTCCATCTATGCTGATGCTGAGTAAGATTTCCTTCTTCTGTTTTTAAATTGTTGTTCAGTTACAGTTGCCCCAATTTTCTCCGGTAGCTCTCCCCTGCCCAGCCCAACCCCCGCACACACACTCGGTCCCCACCCTGCTGTCCATGTCCTTGGGTCATTTATACCTGTTCCTTGACTTGACTCTTCACAGTCGCTCCCTCCTTCTCCCCTTCCCTTTCCCCTCTGGTTACTGTCAGTTCTTTATTTCCATGTCTCTTGTTCTGTTTTGCTTATGTGTTTGTTTTGTTCGTTAGGTTCCTCTTACAGGCGAGATCATATGGTATTTGTCTTTCACCTGCTGGCTTATTTCACTGAGCATAATACTTTCCAGTTCCATCCATGTCCTCTCAAAGGGTAGGAGCTCCTTCTTTCTTTCTTTCCCCTGTGTATATTCCATTGTGTAAATGTACCACAGTTTTTTTGATCCACTCCTTTACTGATGGGCACTTGAGCTGTTCCGAGCACTTGGCAATTGTAAAAACGCTGCTATGAACATAGGGGTGCATAGGTTCTTTTGAATGGGTGTTTCAGGTTTCTTAGGGTATACTCCCAGCATTGGGATCACTGGATGAAAAGGCAGTTCCATTTTTAGTTTTTTGAGGAAATTCCATACTGTTTTCCACAGTGGCTGCACCCGTCTGCATTCCCATCAACAGTGTACTAGGGTTCCTTTTTCTCCACAGCACTTGCTGTGTGTTGATTTATTGATGGTAGCCATTCTGACAGGAGTGAGGTGGTATGCCATTGTGGTTTTAATTTGCATCTTTCTGATGGCTAGTGATGCTGAGCATCCTTTCATGTGTCTCTGGGCCCTCTGTATGTCCTCCTTCGAAAAGTGTCTGTTCAGGTCCTTTGCCCATATTTAATTGGATTGTTTGTCTTCCTGGAGTGGAGTTGTGTGAGTTCTTTATATATATTGGAGATCAAACCCTTGTCTGAGCTATCATTGACAAATACGTTTTCCCATATGGTTGGTTCCCTTTCATTTTGCTGATGTTTTCTTTAGCCATGAAGAAGCTTTTTAATTTGATGTAGTTCCATTTATTTATTCTTTTCTTTATATCCCTTGCCCTAGGAGCTATATCGGCAAAAATATTGCTGTGTTGGATATCTGAAATTTTTCAGCTATGTTTTCCTTTCGAACTTTTATGGTATCACAACTGATATTTAAGTCTTTTATGCATCTTGAATTTTTTTGGTGTATGTTTTAAGTTAGTAGTCTAGTTTCAATTTTTTGCATGTAACTTTCCAACTCTCCCAATGCCATTTGTTGAAGAAGTTATTTTTACTCCATATTTTGCTTCTGCACCCTTTGTCGAATATTGACCATAGAGATATGGGTTTATTTCTGGGGTCTCTATTCTGTTCCATTGATCTATGTGTCTGTTCCTATGCCAATACCAGACTGTTTTGATTACAGTGGCCTTGTAATATGGTTTAATGTCAGGTATGGTGATGCCTCCTACTTTGTTGTTCTTTTCTCAGAATTGCTGAGGCTATTTGGGGTTGTTTAGAGTTCTACACAAATTTTTGAAATATTTGTTCTATTTCTGTTAAATGTGTCATTGGTATTTTAATTGGGCTTGTATTGAGTCTATAGATTGCTTTGGATAGTATGGACATTTTGATATGTTAATTCTTCCAATCCATGAGCAGGGTACATGCTTCCATTTATTTGTGTCTTCCTTAATTTCTTCCTTCAGTGTTCTATAGCTTTATGAGTACAGGTCTTTTACCTCCTTGGTTAAGTTATTTCTAGGTAAATTATTTTTGTTGTTGCTATATTAAATGGGGTTTTTTCCTAATTTCTGTTTCTGATATTTCATTATTGATGTACAAATATGCCTTTGATTTCTGCATATGGACTTTATATCTTGCTACTTTTCCAAATTCACTTATTAAGTCAAGTAGTTTTCTGGTGGAGTCTATAGGGTATACTATGTATGCTATCATGTCATCTGCAAACAATGACAGTTTTACTTCTTCCTTTCCATTTTGGATTCCTTCTATTAATATTTCTTGTCTGATCACTGGGGCTAGAACTTCCACTACTGTATGTTGAATAGAAGGGGTGAAAGCAGACACCCTTTTCTTGTTCCTGATCTTGGCCGGGGGAGGATGCTTTTAATTTATGCCTGTTGAGTATTATGTTGGCTATAGGTTTCTCGTATATGGCATTTATTATGTTGAGGTATGCTCCCTCTACTTCTCCTTTGCTGAGTGCTCTCATATGTGCCCGACCGAGTACTAAACTGACAACCCAGGCATGTGTCCTGACTGGGAATTGAAGGGGTGGCCTTGGATGATGCCCAAGCAGCTGAGCTACACTAATCAGGGCTGAGTTGTTCTTAATGACAATACCATGGCTTAGAATTTCTCTACATAATATTTATACTTTAAGTAAAATAATTGTTTTCTCATGGATTTCTTTTAGAGCTTAGGTTTTGAAGCTTCTTTGGTCAAGAAGGATCGATCAGCAAGCCACCTAGACCATAAACGAGAGATAAGACAGTAAGTACTTCTGGAGTGTCAGTGAAAAACCTATTTTGATTCCTTGTTACAAATTTAACATCCCGCAAGCATGTGAGTGTTTCCAGTAGCATCCCTAGACCCAGCAGAGTGGTCATAACTTGCTTTTACATATAGCACATATACTTTTTAACCATTAGCTACTTACTAAAATGACTTTTTTTTTTCTACTTAAGATGGAGACGGTCCTTCCTTGTGAGCCTGTTTTTCTGTATTCCTGTAATGGGGCTGATGATATATATGATGGTTATGGACCACCACCTTGCAAGTCTTCACCATAATCAGAACATGAGTGAGGAAGAAATGGTCAATATTCACTCTTCTATGTTCCTGGAGCGCCAGATCCTGCCAGGATTGTCCATTATGAACTTGCTATCCTTTTTATTGTGTGTACCTGTGCAGGCAAGTGAAATGCTAGCAAGTATATTTGTTGATAATGAAAAATAGCTAAAATGTGGCAGGCAAGGCTGTTTTCAATTGGAAAGCAGATATTAGCCAGAAGCCGGTCATTTTATGGTGGATGTTTTACAAAAATTATCTTAAACTGAATGATTAAAGTAGGTAATAAATTCCACTTAACACCTAATGATATTATTTAATGACAAAGCAGACAGTAAGAATTTAATTTGTATTCAGATACAAATTTGCTGTTTATATCCGCTACTGTATGTAACTTTATATTTAAAATTATAACTAAAATACATTTATTTATATATTTAATGTTTTAAAATTAATTCTATTTATATTAATATTAAATACATATTTTAATATATTGTATAAAATAAAATAATTATAATAATTATTTTACTATATTACTAGTTTTATTGTTTTTCCCTAGCACTGAAATTTATTGCTTTTTGTAGGTTTTCAACCCTTCTTTTGAGATAAACTCACTGTGGAACACTTCTAATAAATATATTCATTTTTCTGATTCTTTTAAAGCGATAATGAGTTTCTAAAAATATTAGTATGTTTCTCTATACTAAAAAAAAAATAAGCCTTTTGGTTATGTTTACTAACAACAACCAGGCAAAAGATCTAATAGCTTGTGATATACCAGTTCAGTTCAGTTTTGGAAAGGGGGAGATGAGTTTTATGTAAAAAAAGAAAATCCTTGTCAAAAGAATGTAATTCTTTTCCTAGTTCTTATTTTTGCTAGAACCAAAGAGAAAATTCTAAGAGCCATCTGAATTTCTATCATGGAACATCCATGGGACCCTAGGGGACAGCTGCCAAGGGCTGAGACAGCCATTTGAATCCTTGCACATACATATCTGCTAAAATACAAACTATTGTTTCAGCTTAAAATTTCTCTTTAGTGTTTACGGATTAGGTAAAGGCCAAAGGAAGTGAACGCTGATACTGTACCTTAGTTATTGAAGTATATATGTGAATTTTCAGGGGTTTTTTAAAAAAGCGATTATTATTTCTCGATTACAGTTTTTCGGAGGCTGGTACTTCTACATTCAGGCGTACAAAGCACTGAAGCATAAAACTGCGAATATGGACGTACTGATTGTGCTGGCCACCACCATTGCATTCGCCTACTCTTTGGTTATCCTTCTGGTTGCAGTGTATGAGCAAGCCAAAGTGAACCCTATTACTTTCTTTGACACACCTCCTATGCTGTTTGTGTTTATTGCACTAGGTCGGTGGCTGGAACATATAGCAAAGGTAAGGTCAGAAAAGGTGACATTTGTTAAAATCTTGGGTGGATAAATGACCATATTTTCTAGACAAATGAATGGAAGCATATATTGATTTATGTAGTTGATCATTTATTTAAAGAAGTATTTGTTTTTGTTTGGCAATATTTTAAGTACTTCTTTAGATTTACCAAATTTATGGAATTAATATTGTAGGTAGGTAGAGTACATCCATGTTTATTTTAAGAGAGAGGCATTTGAGCCCTGGCTGGTGTGGCTCAGTGGATTGAAAGCCAGCTCCAAAGGGTTGCTGGTTCGATTCCCATTCAGGCCACATGCCTGGGTTGCAGGCCAGGTCCCCAGTAGGGGGCGCTCAAGAGGCAACCACACATGGATATTTCACCCCCTCTCTTTTTCCCCACCCTTCCCCTCTCTCTAGAAATAAATAAATAAAATTTTTTTTTAAATAAAAAGAGAGATGCATTTGAGAACTACTTGTTTTATTTATTTGTATCATATTATTAATGGAAAAATTGATGTGACTGTAGGATTTACAATGATGATGGAAAAATTTTACCCATAATCCAATGCTCTAATGGAAATCAGTTTCTAATCTTCTTCCACATATGTTTATATTTTCCATACTGGCAAACATAGTATTACATGCTACTTTGCACCCTTAACACTGTAAGGATTTCCTCCCATTTTTTCAGTCTAGATAATTATTTGGCATTTCTGAATAATATTCTTTTAAATCAATGTGCTGTAATTTACTGAACCATTCTGGTTTTGTTCTCAATTAAACTGTTTCCAATTTTTAATTTCGGATAACCTTGCGTTAAACATATTTAATGTTATTTCTATTGAATTAGTGTCTTAGGACAAATTACAAGGCCTATGGTTAAAAATTATAACTCACTCTGATTTATGCTACAAGTCGAAACAATTTTTTGCCAGCAAGGATATGTTAGTGAAGTAGTTTTACTACCACTTCATCAGTTTTGACTCCTGTCTAAATTCTTGCTAAGTTAATAGGCATGAAATGGTATCATGGAGTTGCTTTAGTTTGCACATATTCCATTAATAACAGGGATAAACATTTTTCCACACATCGGGTATTATGTTTCTTCTTAAGTGAATTGTCTATTTATGTCCTTTGCCCATGTACTTATTGGGTTCCTGGTGTTTTTCTTATTAATTCACATGATTTATTTATAAATTAGAGCTAATTATATATTTTATATTTTGTGTACTTCGTATTTTTGAAGTGAAATATTTTGATTTGAGCTAGTTAATATTCCTAAAGCTGCCTTTTGGATAAATATTAAAGACCATACCTTTATTTTAGGTAAGACCTGAGCTTTTTCTTCCTTAGTATTGTTGACTTTTTTTTAATTTATAGGGCAAGACGTCAGAGGCTCTTGCCAAGCTAATTTCACTGCAAGCTACAGAAGCAACTATTGTAACTCTTGACTCTGCTAATATCCTCTTGAGGTATTTATCTTCATTCTTTCCACTTTTCTTTTTTAACTCCTCATGAAAATATCAAATATACATGGAAGTCGAAGAGTGTAACAAATGGACATAATCCATCCCCCAGATTTAATAATTATTCACATTTGCCACATATTACTTCATCTGTACATTCTGTCTTTGTTTCTCTTGCAGTAGGATTTTAAAGTAAATTCCAGTCATATCATTTGACTGCTAAATATTCCTGTAGTCTCTCTAAAAAAAAGCATATCCTTATATAACTGTAACACCATGTTGCATCTAGTAAGATAAACAAAAGCTCCTTAATATCATCTCATATGCAGTTCCTGTTCACATTTCTCCTGTTGTCTCCAAAAATGGTTTAAGTTTCATTGTTTGCAGTGGAATTCAAACAAATTCCATGAGTCATTACATTTTCTTTTCCTCTAAAACAGCTCATCCTTCCCTTTTTCTCTCCTCCTTTCCCCCCTAGTTCTCCCTCTCCGTACAATCAACTTGTTAAAGAAACATCCATCAGTCATCGGTATAATATGCCACCGTCCAGATGGGTCTCTTTGTTCCCTTGTGTTGTCACTTAACTCGTTTTATAACTCCTGTGTTACCTCTAAATTAGAAGTTAGAGCCAAAGGCTTGATTAGATGTCATTCTTTCAAACTTCTCATTTGTACACTTATAAAACTATTTAGGCAAGTTTATACAATAAGTAAATTGTTCAGTTAAATAAAACCCATTACACTATTTTCTGAAGTTTTCATTTATTTGGTCAGTGACTATTTAAGAAATATTTCAAGTGCCTGCTTCATGCCACGTACTGAGTTGTTCCCCAGCAGTGAACAGGACCGATGTTGGGGTTCCTAGCTGAGATGCTGGTTCTGGCTTCCATTGCTAACAGTGATGGAGCCACAAGCTTGATATGAATGGAAAATCTTGCATGGAAAGATCAGCATCGGAAGCATATTGTCATAATGCTTTTCATTTTAACTCATATCCAGTGAAGAACAAGTAGATGTGGAGCTTGTGCAACGTGGAGACATCATTAAAGTGGTTCCAGGAGGCAAATTTCCAGTGGATGGCCGTGTCATTGAAGGACATTCTATGGTAGATGAGTCCCTCATCACAGGTATGTTCTTTCAGAGGGTCATGAAGATGAAGCGAGTCCAAGTGTTAATGAAAAATAGGCATGAATGTGGGAGGTGGGGGGTGGGTAAGGCAGGGGAGAGTCATGGGGGGAAATGGGGGCAACTGTGATTGAACAATAATAAAAAAAAAGAAAAATAGGCATGAAAGGTGAAGATCTTTTTACAGAAATTGGAATAAGTAAATAAGGAGCAAAGAGAATATGAGTGCTTTTGAAGACTATTAAACCAATTTCTGCAGCTTTACTTTGTGGATTTAATTGTGCGAGTGAAGGCTCTTTTTTAAAATATGTATTTTATTGATTATGCTATTACAGTTGTCCCATTTTTTCCTCCCCTTTATTCCCCTCCACCCTACACTGTCCCACCCCCCAGCATTCCCCTGCCCCAATTCCTGTCCATGGGTCGTACATATAAGTTCTTTGGCTTCTCCATTTCCTATACTGTTCTTAACCTCCTCCTGACTACTTTGTACCTACTATTTATGCTGCTTATTCCCTGTACCTTCCCCCCGCATTTTCCCCTTCCCCTCCCCTGTTTTACTGTTCATAGTTTGATCTTGTTTTTCTTAGATAAATCCTTCTAACATTTCATATAATAAGGGCCTGGTGAGGATGAACTCCTTTAACTTGACATTGTCTGGGAAGCACTTTATCTGCCCTTCCATTCTAAGTGAGAGCTTTGCTGGGTAGAGTCATCTTGGATGTAGGTCTTGTCTTTCATGACTTTGAATACTTCTTGCCAGCCCCTTCTTGCCTGCAAGGTTTCTTTTGAGAAATCAGCTGAGAGTCTTGTGGGAACTCCTTTGTAGGCAACTGTCTCCTTTTCCCTTGCTGCTTTTAAGATCCTCTCCTTATCTGGCTCTGGCTGGTGTGGCTTTAGTGGATTGAGAAAGTGGATCTAGAAAGGATGGAATCTCCTTTCTAGATATTTTTTAACAGTTAACAAATGATGGTGTGTTTGAAGCGACTGCTTATTTATGTGCCCCAAATCTTTCCTTCCGCCTTATACAGGGGAGGCAATGCCTGTGGCCAAGAAACCTGGCAGCACAGTGATCGCTGGCTCCATTAACCAGAATGGGTCACTGCTCATCCGTGCAACCCATGTCGGAGCAGACACAACCCTTTCTCAAATCGTCAAACTTGTGGAGGAGGCACAAACATCAAAGGTAACCTAACTCACTAGGAGAAACAAAATCTTTTCTTTGAGGCCCACTCAGTATATATGTTTATAGTTTTTGTATTTTCCTTTGATTAATTCTATTTGCATTAATATGGAGTTTATCAAAATAGTTCTGTTTGTGTTCTATTCATTATAAAAAGGTGACTTTGACTTATATATTTTTGTTGTTATTATTATTATTATTATTATTATTATTTAATTCTAGGCTCCTATCCAGCAGTTTGCAGACAAACTCAGTGGCTACTTTGTTCCTTTTATTGTTATTATTTCCATTGTTACCCTCTTGGTTTGGATTATAATTGGATTTCTGCATTTTCAAGTTGTCGAAACCTACTTCCCTGTAAGTGACATGTGATAATTCTTTGCCATTTGTAAAACAGTTTGTGAATTTTTTGCATAAGTCATTAATTGGAAAATAACCTTAATAATCATTACTATGTTTAAGGGACTGGAGTAGGAAGGTGATATGAATAGCATCTACATTTCTGTAAATATAAAAGATTTCCTTTTACAAAGGTTTTTTTCATTATGACTTGTGATGTTCCCAAAGCAAGCACTGAGCTTTTGCATTTCATACCTAGTCTCATTTCCAGCCTGATTTTGCCTTCACAAAGGACTATAGACATATCAAGGAACACGTTGCGATGTCAGCTCTGCTACACACCACCTACATGATCGTGGGTCAACTTAATTTCTCTCTGAGCTTATTTTTCTCATGTATACAGTGAAGTTTTCATAATCCCATCCTGCATAACCATTAGTTGTTGTCAAAGTTAAATCAGATGATATATTAGAAACACTTGGTAATTTATTAAATGCTGTATAAATATAAGACAATATTGGTGCCTGCCTCTCTCTAGTCCTTAGATAGGACTAGACTCTAGTCTTTTTTTTTTTCAGTAATGTATATTTGTTTCATTTCAGTAATACAGTACTTGTTGACAACTACCTTTTAAATTTTGGTTTCTATAATATCACAGCTTTTTGGATTCAGGTGTTTTTTTAATTAATTCATTTATTCTTCCAACTACATTTGTCTCTGCCAACCCCCCACCACTTTCCCTTGCCCCCTCCCTCCCTCCCTCAACTCTTCCCCTTTGGTTTTGTCCATGAGTCCTTGCTCTATGTTCTTTGCTTTGTCCCTTCCCCTCCTTTTCCCCCTCCCCCCTTCCTCCTTCCCTCTTTAGACTCTAGTCTTTCAAGTATGGTGTCATAAGGTGGTAAAGTAGATCTACCTGCACTGCGCCTCACTTAGAGATTTAATTTTTAAGTCACCTCTCAGCCTCAGTTTTGTCATCTGTAATCTAGTGGTAATTAACATCTAAATTGCAGGATTAGAATTAGTGTAGGTGAAAACATGCACATATGACATATACAAAACCATCAACCTAAATGTTTATGAAAGTCCCCTGTAACTCTGTTACTGTACAGATACACAATTCTTAAATGAACACTTAGTTTATTTAAGAACTTAATAAGAAGCCAGCGCTGTAAAGCCATTACTACTAAGAACGTCTTATTGTTGTTACCTTTATCTTAAAAAGTCCTGTTCTGTACACTGCTTTTATGCTGTTTGTCCTTTCAATTAAAGAACAAGTAGAATCATAACAACTGTGTGCCTGTTCCATGTTATGGCTATTAGTATAACATTTCAAAGTTTCTTTAAATGATGCATGTCGGTTAACCACACATTGGACAAGAGGATTGCTGGGAGGCATTTTGGAATGTGTATCACGAGTTCAGGGGATCTTAGGAGAGTTTCCCTAATGCAGTCAATCATATATACCGACACATGCAAGTATTCAGTGCCATGAAGAGCTATACTACACCTGATATACTCAGTTCACATTATTATGTCCAAAAGAATGTTACTGAGATATGATTAAACTCCCTTTGCATGCTGGATGATTTTTTCCCCATTGTCCTTAGGGAATAGTGTGAAAGGCAGATCTATGGTCTCGGTATATAGAAGTTCAGAATTCCTTTTGTTTAGGATCACACTTGTTGAGAATTAGGTCCCACGTTTGCAGCTATTTTTTTTTTAAAGATTATACTTATTTACTTTTAGAGAGAGGGAAAAGGAGGGAGAAAGAAAAGGAGAGAAACGTCGATGTGCCAGAGATACATCAATGGGTTGCGTCTCACACGCCCCCAAATGGGGACCCAGCCCACAACCCAGGCATTCCCTGACTGGGAATCGAACCAGCAACGTTTGGGTTCGCCGGCTGGTGCTCAATCTACTGAACCACACCAGCCAGGCCTGCAGCTATTTTTGAAAGTCCCAAATGAAAACACTTACTCTTAATATGAGGCCAAAAAAAAACAAACAAACAAACAAAACAAAACGCTGACGTTTATGTTCCTTATCTTCACTCCATAGTTCGTAATTCTGAATCAGTGAAATTGAAATCTTGATTTGGGGACCACGACTTGTTTACCAGTTCTGTTACAATATCTTTTATTCATAAAATTTAAAGAGTGTTTTCTTACTAATACATAGAACATTTACATTGGTAGCTGAGTGGGATTGAGGTTTTATTGAAATGGAGTTAACCCGTATTCCTTTTGCTTTTGTACAGCCCTAAATCAATAACCAAAATTCATGCATTTCTTCTAAAGGGCTACAACAGAAGTATCTCCCGAACCGAAACCATCATACGCTTTGCTTTCCAAGCCTCCATCACAGTTCTGTGCATCGCATGCCCCTGCTCCCTGGGTCTCGCAACCCCAACTGCCGTGATGGTGGGTACGGGAGTAGGCGCTCAAAACGGCATATTAATCAAAGGCGGCGAGCCATTGGAGATGGCCCATAAGGTAAGATAGCCCCAGACTAAGAATTGTCCCATCTAAGCTGTGCAGTAGCACCCCTTGGAGGAACATAGAGTCCTAAATTATTTCCGCCTGGTCCATAGTCGAAGCCCCTTCTGGCACTGTCCTGAGGGTCAGGGTAGGAAAGGTTTTATTTTGGTTCTGCTCCCGGTCGGCGTTAGTTACCCAGGATCTCTAAAAATGCTAGAGACCTCGTCTCTTTGAGCAGACGCTGATGTGGAAAACCAGAAGTCCCACCCCAGCTCAGCCTAGAAAAGTCTGTAGGGCAGGAGGACAGAGGAGGCGTTCGCCCAGGTCTCGCAGGCTTCTCACCTGTCTGTGTGTGACTTCTTGTCCGCGTTCCTCACCGTGAGCTAGCGCTCCAGGTTACATTGCGGTGCCTTTGCCTTTCTGCCACCAGATGACAGTTTGCAACTGTGACTTCAGGAATATAATCCTATCCCTGGTGTCTCTCCCATTAGCATTTTCTTAACAGTCTCAACCTTGACTTCAACTAAAACCATGTTTCAAACTTAAAGAAAAATTGCAAGAATAGTATAAAGGACTCTGGTATACCTTTTGCTACAGATATCAGCCTCCTCTCCTAAGAAAAAGGACGTCTTCTTACAAAAACAGAGTACAAACATCAAAATCCAGAAATTGATATTGATATTGTACTGTCATCTGGTTTCCTCAGTTGTCTCCATAATATCCTTTATAGCTATTTTTTCTCTTGTCCGGAATCATGCTTTGTGTTCAGTTGTCACGCCTTTTCATCTCCGTTTCTCCAGCTGTTCGTTTTTCAAGGGTTGTATTCTGAGACGACTGTTGTCTAATTCTGGGCTCTTCCTTTTTCCTGCCTGGGCTGCCTTTCCTCCTTTGATTCCCTGAGCTGTCTCTTCTCAGGCCAAGCTTCTCATCTAGACCCAGTAAAGTCAGAGCCGCCCAGCAGGTCTTCTCTGCTGCTCACATCAACTTAATTATGTACTTTTCTCTTATAATTATGTTCCTCATGCCCATATTCCCCCTATAGATCTGCAATTCATTACTATTTAAACCCCGTGTCTTTCCCTGGAGGCACTACAGGCATCTCTTGATTACCTGTTAACACTCAAACTTTAACAATTCTACTCGTTGAACGTGTGTCTGCAGTAGGGGGCATTAGGTGTAACTAAGAGTATTTCTTCCCTTATTTTCCCCTCCTTTTATTCTCCCAAGGACAGTTTATTAAGTCAAGGTTTATTAAGAAGGAAAGCCTTTTCTCATTCCTGGAAAGGTGATTTTAAGGATTATCCAGTCACGTTGGTGCATTGCATTTTACCTTTTTTACAGGTGAGGGTAGTGGTGTTTGATAAGACTGGAACCATTACCCATGGAACCCCAGTAGTGAGTCAAGTAAAGGTTCTAGTGGAAAGTAACAGAATATCACGCACTAAGATCCTGGCCATTGTGGGAACTGCTGAGAGTCACAGTGAACACCCCTTAGGAGCAGCTGTAACCAAATACTGCAAGCAGGTACAGTTTTTCCCCTTGTTTATTGATGTCGTCATCGCCTATTGGAATTGCTCAGGCCAAATCCAAACATGTTTGACCATGATTTATTATATAGACACTAGTTCGTATGAGGCTTAGAGACCTGAATTTTCCTACTTTGCTTGTATATGTGCCGTAGAATCTTCAAACAGAAAAAATATAAAGATGAAAACAGAAATTAATTATAATCTTACACAGATAACCCTGCTTGACTAAAAAATTAAAATAGAAGTAATACGTATTTATGATAGGAACCCTCAGGTAGTTCAGAGTGTTACACAAGGAAAGGGGAAAGAAAGCCTCATTCCCGCCCACTTCCATAGCTCCTCTCTCCAAACTTTTTAACAGGAGTGAAGCTGTTGGTATTTTTAAATAACAGCTTTATTGAGATACAATTCACATACTGTAAAGTTTACCCTTGTAAAGTGTACAGTTCAGTAATTTTTAATATATTCACTAGTATGTGTCTGTTAACTACTTGTAATGCATATAACAAAATATATGCATTTATTGTCTTTTCAACTTAACATAGAAAGGCCACACAATGACCAATCTTTGGTACCCTGTTTTTTCAATTTATTAAATGATTTTTCTATATCAGCACATACAGAAGGTGCCCCGTTTCTAATGTCTATGTTATATTCTATCGTATGATGGTTTTTGGCTCTTACAATGTACAATTGACATCCTTGTCAGCTTTTCAAGTTTATCTCTATGTTAAATGCCTATTCCTGTAATTGCCAGATCAAAGGATACATGCAGTTAAATTTTGATGAATATTACCAGTGCCCATGTGACAAATATTATCGACACCCACGCAGAAGGTTGTACCAGTGTACACTTCCCCTGGAAGTTACGACTGCCCATTTCCCCACATTTCTACCAATACTTTATTTTTTTTCCAGTATAATAAGTAAAAAATGTTAACTCATTCATGGTTTGCTTTTCATAAATGTTAACTCATTCATGGTTTGCTTTTCATTTCCTTAATTATGAATAAGATTGAGCATCTTTTCATATGTGTATTAGCCATTTGAATTTTTTTTTTTCTGTAACCTGTCTGCTTGAATCCGTGGCCTGTTTTTCCATGATTGTTTACCTCTTTCTCATTGCTTTGTATAAGTTCTTTGTGAGTTATGCACATACTTTTTTAGTTAACATGTGGCAATTTCTACCATCGATGTTGCCATTTCTTTATTTGTTTTTTTCCTTTTTACCTATTAATTGTACTATTACCGACCAGGCTTCTTTACACCCACATAGAACAACAGAGAGGGTGAAGATACAGAGCCAAAATTCCTTGGCTTACGGAGGACACAAAACTGTGCTAGAGAGGCACTCTAGTAACTAAAGGCCCTGTTCTTTGTTACCCTTTGCCTTCTACTGAACAGAAAACCTGACTTGAAAACAGAATTAAATCTTTAACTTGTAATTCTCTACTGGAAAGGGCAGACAATGTTGATCAGCCTTCCATGTTTTCTTTCCCTGAACTTGGTATACATTTTAAAGGATGAGATTAAAACAAAGGATTCTGAGGTTCGCCTGTAACTTTGAACATTACACTCAACACCCTGTCCTTTCATGCTTATTAAAATGCACTACCAGCTCTGGCTGGTATGGCTTAGTGGATTGAGCACTGGCCTGCAGAATGAAAGGTAGCCAGTTCGATTCCCAGTCAGGGCACAGGCCTGGGTTGCGGGCCAGGTCCCCAATGGGGGATGTGAGAGAGGCAAACGATTGTTGTTTCTCTCATACATCATGTTTCTCTCCCTCTCTTTCTATCTCCTTTCCCCTCTCTCTAAAAGTAAATAAATAAGTAAAACCTTTGAAAAACAAATAATAAAATGCACTATCAAGTACACAGTGCTAAGTGATCATTTTATTCTAAACATTTACAGTTAACCAGCAGTAATCTTTGATCTCACTAATGATGACCTTGGATTATTAGAACAGCAGAGAAATTCTTCTGTTTCTATTTGTTAGGAGCTGGCCACTGAAACCTTGGGTACCTGCATAGATTTCCAGGTTGTGCCAGGCTGTGGTATTAGCTGTAAAGTCACCAATATCGAAGGCTTGCTCCATAAGAATAACTGGAAGATAGAGGAAAATAATGTTAAAAATGCATCCCTGGTTCAGATCGATGCAAGTATTGAACAGTCATCAACTTCGTCTTCCATGATTATTGATGCCCAGCTCTCAAGTAAGCTCATTTTCTTTGTAGTGCCAATGACGGGACAGTTATTAACAGATGTCTAACTTTATAATCCTGAACTGTTATGTAAGACGCAAAGATTGGCCTTACCGTTTCATCCTCGCCACTCAGTTTTACCATAGGCCTCTTGAGACCATTTCCCAGCTGTGCTCCTTGATTCCACTGTAGGGTGATGAAGTCTAACCTTAGCCGATCTTCCATCTTATTTCAGTTACCTTTCCTTTCTTTCTCACCACAGCTCCTCCAAACCTGTTATATCCTTCACACGACCCTGTGGCCCTTACCCCTAGTTTCTTCAGCAGATTATCCAGCTTGTTTTTCACATGGCTCCCAGACACTTGCTCTTTCCATTTTTTCCCACGTTTATTCCTTTTTCGGAGGAACAGTTGTCCCTCCTCTTGTCTAATGAATCCCCTCGTTTCTGCTCTGGATCCCACCCGCTCTCGACTCCTCCGGGACCTCGCTCTCTTGTCTGTCCTCTTGCTGCCGCTTTATTTCTCAACTCTCTTTCTGTAGTAGCTCCTTCTCCTAAACACACTAACGTATCTTCCATCCAAATCACTGGATTTCCATCTGCATTCCGTCCCATCTATTTTTCCCTTTGCATCCAAGCTTCTAGAAATAGTAGCCTAGGCTTGCTGAATTCACCTGTTCACTGCACACTCTGGACTCTGCCCCATCCGTACTACTGATGAAGCACTTGACAGCGCTGGCCATTTCGTCCTTCCTAAAACTCTCTCCTCCCTTTATTCCATGACCCTGCTTGCTCTAGCTTCTCCTCTCACTTACCTGGCTGTTCTTTCTAATCCTCTTCTTGATTCCTCTTTTCTCCTGCTCTCAGGAGTCTGTTCTTTGCCTTCTTCTCATTTTACATGTTCTCTCTGTACAATCTCATGCATGCCTACTGGTTATTGTGCCACATGGGGGCTTCCCCTCCCACTCCAAAGTCTGCCAAGGCCTGTTTCTGGAGTTTCCTGTTGGTCTGTCCATCTGTCCCCAAACATAACATACCCGCCTAAGTGTCCAGCACCCCCCCACCCATCTGTGCTCGAGTGACTTTGCTAACATGCGAACCTGATGGACCATATTACTTTCCAATACATTGTATTGTGGCGGCTTGTAGCCCGTTTTTAAATCATCAGCCTTTGGCCGAATGTGATAATAGCTATGCTCACCCCTCAGAAGATTTCTGTCCTGGAGGTATGCATCCATACTAAAGCCCATCCAAGGGACCCCCGTTAATGACCCCCAACTTCCCTGGCTCTCTGTCTCCTGCAGGACAGAGTCCAGTCTCCCTGGACTTCGTTCACGATGTGTTCATCAGGGTGTGTCTGTGGCTTCCCATTTTGTCTTTTTCCACTGCCTGCCTGTCCGCCCGTGTAATCTGTGTTCTGTCCATATGAAACTGCGTGTAGTTCCTCCTCAAATCATGTCATTTCATGCTTTTTAGATCATTTCATTTGCTACTTTCTCTGGGTGATGTCCTTGGCCACAGTGGCATCTCCCTGATGACCTTAGTTTCACCTTTTAAGACTCAGCTCATGTCTCTTCAGCGAAGCGCACACTGGCTGACACACATAGGTAGAAGTTGCTCTTCTGTTAAATCATAACTGTACTTGGTGTCTGTTTTTATACTAGGCACACTGCATGAAAAAAGTCTTTATTGACATGTCTGATTCTACTAAAGTGTAATTTTGAAAATGTTGTTCACGTGACAACTTTTACTAAGCACTGTTTGAGACAACGAAGAATCAGCGGTGAGCAGAATAGACTAAAGTCAGTCTCATGGAACTTAACATTTCTGGTGGGAGAACACAAGGCAGTGAGCTCTGAAATTTAAATATACACATAGCATGTCCAGTGGAGGAAGATGAAGCAGAGTAATGCTGAGAAGATGGTATTTGACCAAAAGTCTCAGGCAGATGAGGGAGAAAGTGATGTGAGCATCTGTGATAAGAGCATCCTAGGCAGGAGGAATGGGAAGTACAAAAGCCTTGAACCAGGAGAATGAATTAACATTAACATCCAGGAGAACAGCGTGACTACAGCACAGGAAACACATGGGATGGGGATAAGACGTGAGGCCGAGAGGCAGGGAGTGCAGGGCTACATCCAGTAAGGACGTTGAAGGGACTCTTGTTCTTGCCCTGAGACATAAGCCACTGAAGGGTTTTGAGTTTAGGAGTGTCAGAATATGACTTAACATTTTAAAATTGTTACTCTGGCTGCTCTGGTAAAAATACACTATTGGGGGAGGGGCAAGAGCAGAGGCAGGGGGACAAGTTAGCGCCATAATCCAGGTGAAAGATAATGGTCGCTTGGACCAGGGTGGTAACAGTAGAGGTCATAAGAAGTGGTCGATTTCGAGATGTGTCTTGAGGCTGGCCGATAGATTTTTTTTCACAGACTGGGTGTGGGGTATAAGTGAAACAGGACTCAAGAATTATGCCAAGATCTGTGGCCTAAGCCATTTAGACAGGTAGTATTACCATTTCAATGAGAGAGGAAGACCACAGCGGGGGGCACTGTAGAGGAAAGCCGATCAGTTTTCAACAGGTAAAGTGGGAGCGCCTATTAGATGTTCTCGCGGAGATGTTATATAAATGGCTGTTGGCTTCACAAGCCTGGAGTTCAAGGAAACTGGGTTGGAGATAGGGATTTGGAAGATCCACTTACATAGAGATCTGTGCTGTCCAACATGGTCGCCATTAGTTACATGTGGCTTCTAAAAATGTAAACTAAGTACAGTTAAATTGGATTTGAAAGTCAGCCCTTCAACCATACTAGCCCTGTTTGCAGCGCTCAGTCGCCACGTGTCGTTAGTGCCGACTGCATTGAATAGAGCAGATGTAGAACATTTCCGTCACCAAGAAGTTTCTGTTGGACAGCGCTGGTATAGATGGTATTTAAGGCCACGAGACTGGATAAGATCCCCAAGGAGTGAGAATAGATAGAGGGGGAAAAGGAGGTTTAGGGGTCGAGCCCTGCAGCTGTACCAGGAAGAATCAGAAAAGAAGACCAAGAGGAAGCAATGAGTGAGGAGGTAACTCCCAAGAATGCAGTGTTCTACAAGCCAAATGAAGAAAGCATTTCAACAAGGAGTGAGTGATTAACTGTAAAATGCTGCCATTAGGGCAAGTGAAATGAGGACTGATAATTTGCCATTAGGTGTATTAAAGGAAAGGTCACCAGTAAAAAAAAAATGAATGAAAATAAAAAAGTAAAGGTCACTGGTGTATTGTATGAAGAATTCTTTGAAGTATTAGAAACAAAAGCTTCACTGGAGAGTGTTCACAAGAGAATGGGAAGATATGAATTGGAGATAGCCAATAGACTTAACACTTTTTTAAAGACTTTATTTACTTATTTTTAGACAGAGGGGAAGGGAGGGAGAAAGAGAGGGAGAGAAGCATCTATGTGTGGTTGCCTCTCACGCGCCCCCTACTGGGGACCTGACCTATGACCCAGGCCTGTGCCCCGACTGGGAATCAAACCAGCGACCCTTTGGTTCACAAGTCAGCACTCAGTCCCCTGAGCCACACCAGTCAGGGCAGACTTAACAGTTTTGAGAAGTTTTGCTATATGTACAGAAGTCGAGAAACGGGACAGTCGCTGGAGAGGTGAGATCGAGAGAGGGTTTTGTTTTTTTTTAAAAAGATACGACTATCTATAGTAGAAATAGAAAATTTGATTATGTAGGAGAGAGAGAGGTGAATTGTTAGAGAGATGTTCTAGAACAGGCAAAGGAGGGGGAGCTGGTGCACAGGTGGAGAGCTTGTCCTTAAATAGGAGCAGATTAACAGAAGGGAAGCTAGATTAACGTGCACACAGGAACAGGTAGCTGAGTAGATGTGGCAATGAGAGCTTGTAGGAGTTCTCTTCTGATTGCCTTTATTTCCTTTCTGAAATAGGAAGCAGAGTCATGCTCTGCTATGACAGTAGGTGAAGACATCTAGAAGGAATGGAGAATGAATGGACTAGGGCAGAGGTGTCCAACCCACGGGCCACATGCGGCCCAGGATGGCTATGAATGCTTTCCAACACAAAATCGTACATTTACTGAAAACATTATGAGATTTTTCAGCTTAAAATGTTATGGGTATTCAACCTAAAGAAAAATTTGATCATGTCTCTTTACTGGACTTTTATAGGTCCTACCTTCCCAGAGACAAACATCCCTTGCCTCACAATCACGCCTTATTCATGTCATCGCTATTTGGCGGCACCTACATTTGCGAGCGACTATTTTCAAGAATGAAACACATTAACAGTAAAATTAGAACCAGAAAATCTGATGAGCACCTTGAGGAGTCACTGAGAATTGCAACTACTTCTATCAAACCATATTTCGGTGCACTGGTTTCTCAAATACGGTGTCAAACATGCCACTAGTTTTATGTTGCCCTCTTTTCTTTTACTTTTATAATAACAAATATTTTAAAAATCAGTGATATTTTATTACTTAGATATGTACATTTTCTACATTAGTGATCACAAACTTGGGACCTACGGGACAATTTTAGAAGATTATCGAAAGAGCTGCGCACAATGAGGGTTATTATGTGAGGACTTTTTTGCTTATCTTTGGTGGCAGATATCACGAAAATTACGCATCGTCCTTGTTTTTTGCTCATCAGTTTTCATTAGTGCTTGCATATTTAATGTGTGGCCCAAGACAACTTGTCTTCTTCCAGTTTGACCCAGAGACGCCAAAAGCTTGGGCACTCTATAACTAGGGAGATGTGGTAGAATTGCCAGATAGCACGAAGGGCACACTTAAACTTAACGGTCACACGTTCACACCGGGACATCAGTATGGATGTATGTTTTTGTTCAGCCACATTCAGCTGCTGATGCACAATAAATATTTTTAGTTTGATTCAGTTCCTTCGGAAGGTCAAAGGGAAAGGCCAAAAGGAAATCTTCACCAAGAAAGTAACATTTGAACTGGCTCCTGAAGAACATGATGGAGTTTGGTATTTTGGGAGGTGGGGAAAGGGTGTTTCAGGTGGAGGCCGCAGTATGTGCAAAGGCCCAGGGGCATGCAAGAGCAGAGTACGTTTCTTAAACATTGTGCAGTCAGTGTCGTAGGCTGCGTTCTACCGAATATACGCTAGTGAGTATGCAAGGTTAGACAGGGAGAATGCGCCTCATGGGGGTGTTATAAATACTATATTAAATGAGCTCACTAAATGTTCCTTCTGTACTTTCAGATTCTCTTAATGGTCAGCAGTACAAAGTCCTCATTGGTAACCGGGAGTGGATGACTAGAAATGGTCTTGTCATAAATAATAATGTAGATGATTGCATGACTGAACATGAGAGAAGAGGTCGCACTGCTGTCTTGGTGGCAGTTGATGGTAAGGTTTTCGAAAAGTGCGCTATGACTCAATGTTGTGATGCCAGTTATGGTTTTATGTGTATTTTTGAGAGACTTCTGATAACATACAAAGCCTGGCTTGGTACGTCATCAGAAAAAAATTACTTCTCAGTTTCATTTGCCTTTAAATTAGCTAAAGCATTTGGGCTGTCGGCCAATAGTTCTCAAAGGGAAGAAAAGGGGTCCTTTAGTAGCCAGTGAGATTTCTCCTTTTATTTTCTTGTTACTAACCATCATTGAAAATCCCTACCTTACCCTGTGAAAATGTTCATGACCAAATAGGGAACTTTGCTGAAGGATTGGTGGTATAAACTCTGCGTGGGCTTGGTGATATTTTGAGTTAAGCCAAGTCCTGAACCATTTTACTTCACAAAATGCTTTTCTTTTTGAAATGTTAGGTCAGAGCCTGGCTTGCATGGCTCAGTGGATTGAGTGCTGGCCTGCGAACCAAAGGGTCACTGGTTCAATTCCCAGTGTAGGGCGTACGCCTGGGTTGCGGGCCAGGTCCCCAGCAGGGGGCTCACAAAATGCAACGACACATTGGTGTTTCTCTCTCTCTCTTTCTTCCTCCCTTCCCCTTACTAAAAATAAATAAATAAAATCTAAAAGAAAAAGAATATTATTCTGCCTTCTCCGTATTCCAAACTCCCATTGTCTTGTGCTCCTGTACTAGATGTGCTGTGCGGCTTGATAGCTATTGCTGATACAGTGAAGCCCGAAGCTGAACTGGCTGTCCGTATTCTGAAATCTATGGGCTTAGAAGTCGTTCTGATGACTGGTGACAACAGTAAAACAGCTAGATCTATTGCTTCTCAGGTAATCACCTTACTGAGTTGTTGGGGTGGGGTGTGTGGTAACTCCTAATTCTTCATATACATTTTCTTTCTTGCGTGCCTTCAGATGCTAAAATTTTTATATTATCTATTATTATTTCCATTATCCCCAAATAGACATATGTGGTCCCTTAAAGAATGGGCAGGCACCCTGCCTGGTGTGGCTCAGTAGCTTGAGCGCCGACCTGTGAACCAAAGGGTCGCAGGTCCGATTCCCAGTCAGGGCACATGCCTGGGTTGTGAGCCAGGTCCCCAGGAGGGGGCGTGCAAGCTGCAACCACACGTGGGTGGTTCTCTCCCTCTTTCTCCCTCCCTTCCCCTCTCTAAAAATAAATAAAAAATAAATAAATAACAGCCTTAAAAAAAGAATTGGCATCCTATTCAGGCAGGAATTTGGGCCCTGTGTGCTACTGTAATAAGTAAAAATCTATTTGCTTAGTTCATGAGATGCTTCAGGGATATCGTGTACCAGTGTCTGTCGATGCTTCCTTTGAAATGTCGTTCATATATGTTTCACCAGTGCTGCCGGCCTAAGGCAGGCTCTGATCCTCTCATGCCCACAATACAGCTCTGGCTCCATGCACTTCCCTCTTCAGTCCATGCTGAACACCATTTCCTAATGTGCCACCTGACATTGGGGTTGGCCAAAAAGTCCGTGTATGTCTTTCCTGTACAATAAAAGACACATTTTTCATTTTCACGAATAACTTCATTGATTTGGATATTTTGAGTATGTCAGCTATTTCCCGTGTGGTATAACATTGGTCATTCTCAATTAATGTCTTGATTTGATCACTATCAACTTCAACTGGTCTACCGACCGTGGAGCATCGTCCAGCGAGAAATCTCTAACGCGAAACTTCACAAACCACTTTTGACACGTTTGATCAATTGCAGCACCTTCTCCACCCACTGCACAAATCTTTTTTCGCATTTCAGTTGCATTTTTACCTTTCGTGAAATAATAAAAGCATAATATGCCAAAAATGTTGCAAATTTTCTCCCATCTTTAGTATTCAAGTGGCTGTACAAAAATTCACCAATTTTGATAAGTTTTTAAAAATGCACCCTGATAGGACAGCTGTCACAATGCACTCTAACAAAATTGCTTTGAATGAAGTTAAAGACAACTAAGCGCTACTAAGAGCCATCCTATGAAAAAAACTAACAGATTTTTTTGGTCAACCCATTATCATTTTTCTGCTGCTGACCCCCTCGTTTGCCTTTCCCTCAAAACTTTTCTCATATCAATCTTTTCCTCTATTAAATAACACAAGTAATGTACGAATGCATTCTTGTATAAAAAATACAGAAGGTTACAAAGTGAAGAGTTTGTCACCTTTTTCCCAAGCTCCCCGCCAAGTCCTCCCCTCCCACATCATTTCACATGTGTACATGTTCCTAGACAAATGTATAGTTCTGGTATTTTCAACATACATTGGATCATTCTTACATAGGTTGTTTAGCAGTTCGCTTCTTTACGCCACAATATATATGCCTTGGTGCTTTGTCCATGTCTGAAAATATAAAGTTATTTATTTTTCTACATCAGTGCATGGAATTGCATGGTATGGTGTGCATCATAACTTATTTAACCATTTCTGTAATGATGGGCATTTAGGTGGTTTTGAAAATTTTGTTGTTACAAACAGGGTAGTATTGTACATCCTTGGACATACCTCTCCTTGTGCATGCACAAGCATGTCCAAAATAGACCTAGATGCGAAATTGCTAAACCAAGTGATACGCGTACTTTGATGGATGCTAATACCCTCCAAAAAGACCGTACCAGTGCACACATTTACCAACATTGGGTAAGAGAGCTCACCTCTTGCTCTCCTTTCTGTCACTGGATATTATCAGTCTGTCCACCTCTGGCGGATGGGAAGTGAAGGCTCATTGATGGTGAGTTATATTTCAGGTACTCAGTAATATTTCTTGACTTGTGTTTATTTTCCCCGACGTAGGTTGGCATTACTAAGGTGTTCGCCGAAGTCCTACCTTCGCACAAGGTTGCTAAGGTGAAGCAACTTCAAGAGGAGGGGAAACGGGTAGCGATGGTGGGAGACGGAATCAATGACTCCCCCGCTCTGGCCATGGCCAATGTTGGCATTGCCATTGGCACGGGCACAGACGTAGCCATTGAAGCGGCCGATGTGGTTTTGATAAGGGTAAGTCCTCTAGCCTGAACTTGGCAGAGTGTATGTCTGCTCTCTATGCTCAGGGATAGTGTCATAAAGTATATACAGCGCGACCGTTCTGTTCTTCTCATTCTCTTGCTCCCAGTTACTGAGACTGGGAGAATTCACGGTAGGCGTGTGAGAAGTCTTACTAATCACTTTCAGACTCTCTCCATCCAGTGAAGCCAATGAGAGCGACAAGCTTGCAAAGTGAAGGACAAAATTTGGGAACATGCTTAACAATAAAAGCATCCTCATGGAATAGTGAGGTTATTTTAATAGCATTTAATCCCTCTTCCAACATACAACCGTAAATGTGTTTTCAAAACCCTGAGGAAAATTCTTGAACAACATTTTCCAAGGCCGACTCAAATTGTTAGCAATATCTGAGATTTGTAGTTAATTCACATATTACCCTAAGCTACATGTCAGCTTCAAATGCAAAAGTTACGGTAAGATAGAGTCTCTCACTAATATTACACATATTTCTCTTCTCAGAATGATCTTCTGGATGTAGTGGCAAGTATTGATTTATCAAGGAAGACAGTCAAGAGGATTCGGATAAATTTTGTCTTCGCTTTAATTTATAATCTGGTTGGAATCCCCATAGCAGCTGGTATGTGACTGTTAACTAGTATTGCTTTTTCCTCTGAAGTCATCAGAGACCTATCATGCTGGAAGTTTTAGTCTTTTCATTAGTTTTGAGTTCATTTTTTGTGTGTAGCCTGCTGGTGCGCTGAGAGGTAACATTAAAATCAACAATTTTAATTTTCAGCAATGTTGATTATAGTCTAGAATGTCTAAGTATTCTAACAGGTTTTTTTTTAATCTTACTTTACATTTTCCTCCAAATTTACATTTTGAAAAATTCCAAACTTCCATAGACAAGGAAAAAAATGATGCAATGAAAACCTGTATGCCCCTAACCTGAATTCATCAGTTAATTGCATTTTGCTACATTAGGTCATTTCTTTCTTCGTATATTCTCATACTTGTATATATCTATTTACTTATTTTTTTTTGCTTAAGAGAACAAATTTACTATTAATCTCACTACCCAAACACAACTGCTGTTAGCATTTTAGTCTATTTAGTTCTTGGGTTTTTTTTTTTATGTCAGGTTTTATATTGTCACATGGTTGTAATTACAGGGTACAAAGAATTTTCTGTTCTTCCTGTAATGTTGTAATAGCCAACAGTTTTTTCCCCCCCCAGTTTGGGGACCAGATGAGAGATTGAATGAAGGAATACAACCAAGAAAAGCCAATTTTGAATTGTTTAATAAACATCTGATAATCTCCTGTACTTAGGGGCTTGGTAGAAGTTAGTAATAACGTAAGAGAAATAGTTGTCACTTTCTTCTTTTCTCTCTGGTTTGTGAGCCAAAGAAAGACGTAAAATGACATGAGAGCAATTACAAAGCTGTTGATAAATGGACAAATGCTGAGAGGAAAAAGTAAAAGAACAATCAAAACCCGGAAACATTAATGCATGGATCAAGTGGTTTTTAAAAAATATATATAATAATATATGATCACTGTACTAAAAGTAGAAAATACAGATAAGTACATAAAAATTAAAAATATAATAAATTAAAAAAATTAAAAGTACAATAAGTCTGTCGTCCCTGTCACGTGAGCAGATATTAACATGTCTGTCAAAACCAAGTGTGGACGAGTTTGTAGACATGAGGCTCTTGTTTCCTGTTGATGGTGGTGTGAGCTGGTACAGCTGCTACGGGGAGCAACTGAGGAATGTCCACCTAAAGTTAAAAACGTGTCCATGATATAAGCCAGCAGCTTCCCCTCTAGGTGTATTCTCTGGAGTGATTCTCAAACTCATGCACAGGGAGACAATGCACTAGGATGTTCACAGCAACACTCTACTAGTGAAAAATCGGCAGCCGCATAAATCTCCAGCAACGGGAAGCTAAATTGCTGAATAAATATTGAACGAGGAAATGATTTATAAATACGCGCTGGAAACACGTTGCCGACCTGTTTAGTGCCATCCGCCCTAACTAATGCGCCCTTGTTTCCTAGGAGTGTTCATGCCCATTGGTTTGGTTTTGCAGCCCTGGATGGGTTCTGCTGCAATGGCTGCTTCATCGGTTTCAGTAGTACTTTCTTCTCTCTTCCTTAAACTGTAAGTATGCTGGCTTGCTGACATTTGTATTTTATATCCCTTTTATTATCCGCAGGCTTGGTAGGTTTTATTCTTATGTTGATCGATGATAAGCTGAAAATGTCTTAATATAAATGGTAGCTACGTAATTATCACCTCATGGGGCCTCTACGTTGCGAGCACAACGACCAAGTGGAGTAAAATCCGAGTAGTTGGCTCTGAGAGGCGGGCTGCTGATCACGTGACTGTGCACGCTGCCTTTTGAGCGGCTTTCCCAGCAGCGGCTGCCTTTGCACATTTCACACCAGGCAGATCTCCTTTCACTTTTGAAATGTAACAGGCCTCTAGTTCGCATCTGGTTATTTCAAACTAGTGTCCTTTTTGCATGTGTCCAGTTATAGGAAACCAACTTACGAGAATTACGAACTGCATGCCCGAAGCCAGATGGGACAGAAAAGTGCTTCAGAAATCAGCGTTCACGTCGGAATAGACGACACCTCAAGGAATTCTCCTAAACTGGGTTTGCTGGACCGGTTTGTGAATTATAGCAGAGCCTCCATCAACTCGCTGTGGTCGGATAAGCGGTCCCTGAACAGCATTGCCACCAGTGAGCCCGACAAGCACTCACTCCTGGTGGGAGACTGCAGGGAAGACGACGACGACACTGCGTTGTAACAGGCCGCAGAGAGCGCCACGAGCTCCTGTCCTACGCCCTGACGCAGCCTTCACGACCGTCACCTTCACTTCGCAAAATATTGTGGAAGGATTTTCTGTTGGTCTCATGCTCTTATCCTAGGGGTTCTATTTGAATTGCATTTTTCTAATGGCAAAAATACCTTTTTCAGGGCATCAGCACTGAACCCAGCTTTATTTAGAGTGAATTTCCAGTATTTTTGTTCTCTCCAGCAACAGGTAAAGGAGGCCAGTGAGCTTTACGGCAAGCCAGCGAGCCCTACAATAGAAGATCGCCAAACTGCTGCTACAGTGACAGATGCATTTTTTTAGTTGAAAAAAGAAAAAAGCTCAAGGAAAGGGTAATTAAAGATTTGAAGATTCCAGAGTATGATCTTAAGAACCTTCTCAAGCCCTGAGCCCTGCCAGAGTGGGGAACGGCGGCTTTCAAAGCACTGTATAAAGCATCTAGTTTTAAAAGGAAAACAGTAGAAACTGTTTGAAAATAGATGTGCCTTAATTATTACTGGCTTGATTCCCCTCGCCTTATTCTCCCTGCATCTCCATCTTTGCAGTTGCTTTCGTAGGTGAGCCAGTATGTTTCCTTCTGTATTTCCTTTGAGTAAGCTAAGTGTAGCTGGTTTTTCATTGATAAAAATAACTCACAGTTTTTTCCAGTTTCTTGTTCCTTTCTTTATCTCGTAGTTCAAAAGCCCTTAAAGGTAGTGTCCCCTGCCTCTCATCCTGCCGTTGCGGTGAAAAGGAGAGCAGGTTCTCCCTGCAGTAGCTCCCTGGCTTGGTGTGAACTTCCCATTTTCTCCTGGTGGGGTTAGCGCTGGGTGGTTCTTGAGTAAGTCTATCGGCCTCAGTCCACAAACTTAAGATTTTGAGCCTCTTCCACAGTTGTTTTCAAAGATCAAAGATTTTTTGAAACCATGTTCAACATGTACGGGTCATACAAAATTACCTGGATTCACTCAATTTGTCCTTTTTGGGGACAGAATATAAGACCTTAGCTGGTATATATAATTTAATACATTTTAATTGTCTTTTAGTGTTTTAGGTAACCCCTGAAAATGACTTTAAAATAATGCTATTACACAAAACTGCTTTTACCAAAAATACAGTAAATTGTCATATCGAAATGAGAAACTTCCCTAGGTTGTGATTACCTCTCAGGCAAATCTATAGTTTTCTCTTGTTTAAAACATTTGCACTTGCTAATTACTGTGATTGGCAAATTCAGGGGCTTGTTCTCATTGCCACATCAATCTAGAAATTCCCCTGTAAGTGCCTGGGAGTTAATTCACTGGCCAGAGATCTGGTACTTGTATCACTATTCCAATTTCCTTGTTAATTGTAAGATGGATTTCATACGTAGAATACGTAAGTGAAGAGAACTCAGAAATGAATTTCCAGTATTTTGTTCCCATTGCCATACGTAAAGCTGCTAGCTCAGTGCCTAGCACATACGGTCTGTACTCAGTAAATGTGAGTTCTTTTCTCTGCTTGAGGTCAGTAATAAAGATTAAAACTCATTTTAATAGGGCAGAGTCTCAAATCAGGTGGGAGTTGGGCATGGGTTTCTTCCCAGCCTACTTCTTTTCTCTCTTATCTTTTCATACATACACCCCCATACACACACACGTACACGCACGCACACACGCAAGAAGTTTACAGCATCATTCCATGTTGTCTTTTTAGATTTGGAAAAGAACTCATTTTTATCTCAGCTATTTTAAAGAGAGGACTGAAACTTGATGAAGGTGCTATTACTCTCGAAAGGCAAACCCATTTTAATGAAGTGAGAATGAGTTCGTAGGTCTAGGCCCTTCCTTAGACCAGTGCCTGCACCATCTTTCACGCTACCAGCTTGAGTCTTAATGTTTGTGTCTTGCTTGAATTCCAGTGGCCCACCGTACCTAGAAGAAACACTTAATATGACAGGTGTGTATTAAGACTTTTCAGAAAAGAAGCCCGCCTCTCTCTCTCTCTCTTACTTTTCTCTCTCTCTCTGAAGCACTTGAATATAGCCGGTTACGGCTCTTATTGTTGTGTGTGTGTGTTTGAGCTGGGCTCTTGGCCCTATGTGCCAAGGGACCCAAGTCGTAGCATAGTGAAAAGAGCAGCCGATGGTCTGGAGAAAATCAAGGACGTAATTTCAGCCCTTACTGCGAGAGCAGAAAACACGCTCTTTAGAAGGCATCTTGTTTTAAATGCCGCAGCCCTCTTTGAATTCCCTACCACACGTCTTGTTTGTGATCTCGAGCGCCCATGAGCTTCCCAGAGCAACTGTATTCACGGGAGAGAGAGGCAATATGTGGAGGGAATCAAAACCATTGCTTTCAGTTGTAACTAGCATTCATTAACTAGTAGCTAGTGAGAACAAATTTTATAAATGTGTATATGTGTGTATGTCTATTCATATACAGGTCTAAATACACACACATATGTATACACACACATTACCATATAGAAAGAAAGCATCGTGACAGTAGGTCCCCTCTATCCAAGCGGGGCATGTTCCAAGACCCCCATAGATGCCTGAAACTCTGGATACAACTGAACGCTAGATACACTATGTTTTTCCCTATCATGTGTCGTTTTCACTTAAATGAAGCACTTTATGGTTTCTCTTTGGCATATCTGAATTGCCAGCGTCTCTACTCTTGTACTTTAGGGCTGTTAGTAGAGTAAAAGGAAGGTGACTTGACAACAGACACTTTGACACCACAACCGTCAACCCCATAACTGACACGACTACTAAGTGGCTCGTGGGTGGGGAGTGGATACAGTGTGGAGATGTGGCGCAGACCGGGACAGCGTGAGGTTTCATCACAATACTCAGAATGGCACACGGATTAAAACTCATGAATTGTCTTTTTCTTGGAATGTTTCATTTAAGACTTTCAGACCACAGTTGACTGTGGATAACTGATAGGGAAAAGTGAAACCGCAGGTAAGTAGGGACTACTGTGTATTTGGATCTGATATTTGAAGTTCTTTAATTGTTACTCATTTATCGTTCTTCTGTATTCACTCAGCAACCATGTCCTCAGGCTGAAGTGAACAAGGATGTTTTGATATTCACTGCTTGTTCAGACTCAACTATGGGGCGCATTTTATCTTAAATATCCAAAGATGCCTTTTGAACTTCAAAGGTTAAAACACACCTAAAGTATTTAGTGTCGTAGTCTAAAGAAGTGTGGTTGTCATTTGTGAAAATAGAAATGTTATTTTTCTTAGTTTAGTATCGACATTTTAGAGTGTTCAATTTGATGCCTTGTGAACAAATACTTTTATATTGTGCTTTAACTTTTTAAAAGTTCTTCTTTTGTTCAGAATGCTTAAATAACACTGTAGACAGATGTTTCCAAAACTTTAAGCGTGCGTATCTTTCATGTACACAGCTTAAAATCAAGAATGTATGTTCTTAGAGAATTTTTTCCATTACTTGTGGATCTTGCTTTAAAATTATTTTTCTTAATATTTATTTTACCCTGTTGTTATTTTCTTTGGGTGAGGCATCTGGTTACTGGTTATTTTAATGAGAATAAAAACATTCCTGGAATCACTCCCTATGGATTTTTTGTTTGTTTAATTCTTACTGTTCTGTAATTAAAAATAGTATTTTACCAAATATAAAAATATATAGATTCATGCCAAATTATTAGCTATTTTTACACTAAATGTTTGTAGTCCTTCTGCAAGTTTCTCTGGTATGAGTAACCAGAATGAAGTTTTAATTGTTCTTCAATTAAAAGAGCCTCTGTAATGGCATCGATAATAAATGCCTTTTATAGCCAAAACCAGGCGTCTCAACCTTATGTTTTTTGGTTCAAGAAATGTTTAACTAAACATTGTTAAACATCGATTGTTTGCTACCCAAGCAGTGGCGGGTGATGTTGTGCAATAATCATCTACTGTAGTCAAGATATTTAGTAGTTTGTTTTTCCATAAGCATGTAATTGATCATATTTTGATCTGCCAAGGATGTGCCTTCAACTTTATAATTATAGTATTGTAAAAAAAAAAAAATTGTTTTCGTCAGTGTCTCATTCGTTAAATCTTGCAACTCCTCTACCAGCAGTTTCAAGATACCCTTTGTTTTTAGTGTTCTTTGTTTGTTTATTTTCTGTTAACAATGAGGCAAGATTAGAGGTAGCACCATTTATTCACTGAGAGTGGGAGGGAAGAAATCTGTTTTCCTCCAGACTCCGCTTGCGTACCCTTTAGTGAAGATGAAAATCAGAGAAAGGAATGTCGTTGTCCTCTTGATAGATTATATACCCCAAATGAGCTAAACGGAGCTAAGAGCTACATTTTGAATTTTGGGAGTCCTCTATAGTGTGTTTGAGGATCTGACCCCAAATACATCCCGACACCAAACACTTCTTTGAGTTAAGAAAAGCGTTGTAAACATTTGTAAGGGAAAACTAATTTTCATCCCCTTCCCAAATCCTTGGGATTGTTCGGGGTGATAGGAGTAGAAATGGAAAAGTAAGAGTAAAACACCTGAGGTGTCCACTTAATTGTCCAGCCTTTCTTTTCTTTTGGCATCTTGACTAACCTCCAAGAAGGACATGCAGCATAGCTGTTGAGCAAAGTCCTTGTTTCAGATAGGCATAATGAACCAGCTACCTCTGTTGAGAACAGGTTACTCTATTTTTTTAATTAGATTGAACCACTGGCAGTAACTCTTTCCCAGCTGGTTATATTTTGGGTATAGTGTCTGAGACCAGGCTTCAGTAATGCCTTAAAACCTTGCTACTTACCTTGGCTGCTGTGGCTCAGTTGGTTGGAACACTGTGTTCCCGTAACCTGAAGGGTCGTAGGTTCAATCCCTGGTCAGGGCACATACCTCCTAGGTTGTGGGTTTTTGATCCCTTCTAGGGGCACATATGGGAGGCAACTGATCAACATATCTCCCACATCCGTGTCTCTCTGTCTCTCTAAAATCAATGGAAACCTCCTTGGGTGAGGATTAAATAAATAAATAAATACCGAGATGTTCTTTATGAGATGCCTAGGGCTTATCAATCTTGTTATTAGATGTAATCCAGAAAATCAAGTCCTGGTTTTTTTTCTCTTTAAAAATTGTGGTAAAATATACGTAACGTAAAGTTCATTCTTTTAAGTATTTTAAGCGTACGATTCAGTGACATTAAGTACATTTCACACTGAGTCACCAAATCAGATCTACACATATCTGCCTCTGTGTCTTTGAAAATGGACCATCCTGTCAGTAATGAATACCCTAGTACCTGCTGATACCTTTGAATCATTCTGTTTTCTTTTCATGGACCGAGGAAAGTGACAGCCTCTTCAGAAAGTCACCTCCTACGTATTTGGTAGGTCTAGCAGTTCAGAATTCATCCTCTTGTCTTTATTACACTCTTCAAT